ATTTAAAATAAGAGTATCCTAATATTTTACTTCAAATAGTATGATTTGATATAATCATGTTGGGAAAATGCAAAAATCTGTTATTAAATATTTTTTAACGGCTTTTTTCCTAATTTTATTGCCCAAAAATGAATTAATTTAAAATCATAAGCAGTTAAACTCAAAGTAAAATACAGTTTTATCAAAACTATGGGTTTTTGATATGACGGTAAAAACCATGGTATAAACCGGTAAAAACCGTCATGTGTCATAAACTTGCCAACCCTGTTTTAATTGGGTAGTCAAATCTTTCAACAAAAAATAAGCACCTTTCAAGTACTTTTTAAGCATTCAAAAAATATTTTTAAACATAATATACATAAATAAAATGCAAAATAATTTTCAAAGATTTCACATGATCATGATAAAATAACTAGTTTCTGACAAAAAAACTCATGAACATCATTTCACCTCATTTCCTTTCTACAATTTTAACCCTTTATGCTTGAAAAGTTAACATGTAAGGGCAACCATCAGCAAAGTTATCTTCCTCTTAACAAAAGAAAAGTTAATTTGCTATTTTTCGGTACAGCCTGCAGCACAATTCAAAAGAATTTAGACAGCATACTAATGAAATCAACATTCAGTGCCATCAATGATGTCAAAAGATACTAAACGTCATCTAAATTTTTAGCTCCGTTTATAGCTATATCAACATTAACTATGCATATTTGCTTACAATGTTAGTTACATTGTGGGTTGACAAAATAAAATTTTTTACTCTATAACAAAAAAAAAAAAACTAACCACGCAAGACTTGTGATATTTTTAGAGCTCACAATGGTAAATAATTTGCTCACTAAAGAAGATATAAATTTAATTTCTTTTCTATCCTTTATTAAGAATAAATTATTTTAAAATTTTTTTTTAAAAGGACTAGCACGAAGAAACATATTTTGTAAAAATTAGCATACTTGATTTATTTGAATCACAGCCTTTTCCCATTTTCTAATTTTTTCAGTCAAAGTTATTACAGTCCATTGTGGGTCTTTTTGGCAGTATTCACAAATGGGCAAAGTTGTAGTTTTAGAACAACAAGGGCAGTTTTGAGTTTTGAAATACTGAGTGAGTGTACCTTTGTTTTGATTGAGTCCGCTAGCCATGGGCAAACTGAAAGTGATTTTGTGAGCAATGCTGGTGTACCTAAAATAATAATAAGACTAATTGATTCTAAATGTTACAAAAGACACTTTATAATTACAGTAGAGTCCCGATTATTCGAGTTTCTGCTTTAACTGGGCTAACAAATATTTCAAGGATTTTCTTTGTTCTAGCTTTTTATTTTTATTTTTAAAACTGTCGCCGAAAAATAGTCGGAATTTTATCTTCCAAACAATCACGAAAACAAGCTAATGGACAACACAAAATTACCGACAAAATGATAGTTAATATCGGCAATAATGAAGATTAATCTAACGAAGATTATGAAGACAGTGACGATGAAAATCAACGTATAAAACGATTAAGGACTTTTTAAGTAAAAACTCTTTAGTTCTCGTAAAGTATGCTTTTTGAGTGTTTTTAATTAAGCTTTTTAACATGAATTGTATGTGGTGAACTCATATAAGTTTTGTATTTGTTAGATGTAATACATTTTTACTCCCTGTGGCAGAATTTTTTCGAGCTATCTGCGACAAAACTCTGTAGCACCAATATCTTTCTGCAAGATACTTTCAATAATAACAAACATGTATGTTACTAATTTAAAATAACAAAAGCGATGTGTTTACAAAAATAAAACTAAACTATATATATCTTGCATTTTGTTGGGGGGGGGGAATGCACAAATTATTTTTTTCTTTGCATTTTGTAAATAATCATCACAGTAAAAAAAATAAATGAAAATCATGAAATCCATAGTAGTAATTGCTGAGGAAAAAAAGAACGCTGATGAAATCACGCTAATCGAACTTCTCAAATGTGTGTTTCGTTTCGAGATTAGGGTGTTGTAATAAATAATATTGTATAAAAAATAACGGATTTAAAAACTATGTAGAAATTAATAGCAATAACTGCATAAAATTCGATAGAATCATTGCCTTGAAAAGTATATACTCAAATGCACGATTCGAATTTTCCATATTGTTTGAAATACATCAGGATATTTAAAATCCACATGAAAATCAACATCAATAACTACCGAAAATATCGAATCGGAACATAAAATCGATTTACGATACTATCGGCATAAAATTGAGCGCATCAAGAAGTGTTTACCTACAGGCATGATTCAAATATTATGTGTAAACTGTTGAAGAAAAGTAATTATTTTCACTCTTCGAAAGAAAAATCATTCTGCAAGAATTATGTAACGTTCTGCCACAGGGTATACACCTACTCTTTTTATTTCCGTTTTTATACTCTTTGCTTTAATGAAGTTTTTCGGTTATCCAACTAGTCCACATTATCTTGGATAATAGGAAATCTACTGTATAATAATATGAATATTAAAGAATTTAATCAATTTATATTTACCATGCTTTCACATCAGCTTTTATAAGACTAAATACTCTTTCAAGAGGTGGGATGATAACACGTGTAATATAATATGTAGCATTGAGACGTAGGTTGTTATCCTTAACAAGTTCAATTGGTTCACGGACTAATCTTATGATAGGCATACCAGGGAAACCATACACTATCACATAGGGCACTCTTTCTCCGACTCTAGGCTCTGATCGAGGGTCTTTAGATAATCTTTTTCTACAAAAAGCAAAAAATTTGGTAAACTAAATATTTACTTTTACACTTAACAAAGTAGTTATAAACAGGCTAGCAGAATTTAGGGGGTAAATCTGCAACACTATCTCCATAAATCTCTCTGACTGTGTTGTGGTTGCAAATTTGTTTGCAGTCAGAGAGATATTATTATTGTAAAAATTTAGCTTAATCTAACATGCATAGCAAATTTTCAAATATTAAGTATTTATACATAAAAGTTTTTTATACAATGATACTAAAAAAATGACTATACAGTTAAGACGCCACACAGCGAAAGAAAATTTTCATTGTAAATTCCCTTTTTCCTTCATAACTAACTTAAAATTTAAAGTGTAGAAAAAAAAAGAGTTCAGATAAACTTAGAGTAGGCCATGACATTTCAAACACTGAAAAGAAAATTTTAAAATATACAAATGAGAATAAATTATGAGATGATAACTTAGGATTATGCAATGGAGAGTTCTCTTGGAATAATTTGTTTGCATTTTAATATTTTGAAATTTTTTTTTAGCAATTGAAACATAATGATTTACTCTAGATTTGCCTGAATTTACTTTTTCTTTCTTTTAAATTAGTTATGAAGGAGAAAGAGAATTTGTGCCAAAATTTATTCCCCTAGGTATGGCGTCCTCTTAAGTCTTTAAACAAGCAATAGAAAAAATCTCAACTTTTGTTCTTTTCCGTGCTCTCTCAATTCAGCTTCTTAATTTTTATTAGAAACAAGTATAGAGACGCTTTAAAAAGAGGTCTAAGAAATTTCTTCATATTTGTTTATTAGTTAACGTTTTTAAAAATACAAAGTAAACTACACTGAAAAATAAGAGCCCGCTGCCATAGTATAGGGCTTCGGCTACCGGGGTTGTAAATGATATAACATGCCTTATATACTAGTGAATTAAATTTTATAGTGGCAGATATACTACAGAAATAAAATTATTTGTAGAAAAAACGGAGAGGATGTGCTGAGTCATTTTACAACACCAGTAACTGATAAAAGTTCTAGCGAAGGAGAAAAAAAAGAGGCCAGAAATGACTTCTAATCATTCTCAAAAGGTAGATAAGGATGGAAAATTCAGCTACTGATATAAAAAAGGGATTAACAGGAGTCTATTTTTCCTGCAATCTGCAGTTCTAGAATGCGTAGGGTCATAAAATGACACTTGCACACCTGCTCGGGTTAAATAAACATCCCTCTCTCAAAATTAAAACAAATGCTCAAAGTACAACAATTTAGTTGGAAGGATACTAAGTCTTGCTTGCATAGTTACAAATTATTGAAATTTAGAAATTAAAATATTGGCAACTCAAATACATTTGTATCAGGTTGCAATATATATGTATATATACAATTTTTAATTTGGTATTATTAAGAGCAAGAGTATGAACTCTGCTATTGACAAATGTACTTACTTAGCAACTGGAAGTTACCTTTCAGTTTAACAATGAAAATTGAAAAAAGATAATATTCAGGAATATAATCATGGTATTCTTAAGTATAATATATTTATTTAATAGCTTACTTGGCAATTTCCAATGCTGGAACACAAGCACCAGGCCTATATCCATTCATTCCTCGATACTCTTTAGCAAATATAAAATCAGAAAGATTGACACGCTCTTTTAAAATTCTGGAAAATTGTTTCTGAACATACTTCTCAACCATTGATACATTGTATGTCTCAAACAAAATTTTTAATGATCTCTGTAGAATCTAAAAATACAAATATACATTAGTTTTAAAGCAAATACATAGCTGGCAACTCTTTCAGTTTTCCCGGAACATTTTATTTTTATATTTCAAACAGTATCAAAGTCTATGTTTTTCTATTTAATTATAGGCTTTATAAATATAATTTAAAATAATTTTGACTATCATTTCATAAAGATTAATAATGAATATATATTAATACTTAAATATTAACTATAGTGTGATTAAGCTATAAAATTATATAAAAATATTTCTGCCGATAATTGTCAATTGGTTGTCATATTACTACCACTTGGAAAAAGCATCCTCAAAGAGAATTAAAGTTGGCAGGTATGCAAATATAAAATATAAATTTATAAATAAACATTAAAAAAAAATTAAACAAAAATATCTTTGGAATAACTACACGATCAAACGATTTGGAAGATTCTTGTAGACTGACACAAACCATTTCTCCAAATCCATTAAGGAATTTACCATATAATAAAAATAAATGTTAATTAAAGACTAAAAAACAATCAAAAATCCTTAGATTGTTATTCTAATAAAAATGTGATAAATATTTCGAAAATTTAAATCCAAATTTTGATTACTATTTTGCGTGCTTTATTTAAGGTTTAGCCAATTTTTTTGGTGAAAAATTCTGTTTCATAAATCAGTCAGTCTAACAAAAATCAACCATAATATAATCAAATAACTAAGAAAAAAAAAGAAGAAAAATACAAGGTAAAGTAGAATATATTCATAAACGAAAGCTATATTACCTTGGCAGTAGCAGGACAAGTATCTCTCCGTACAGTTTCAATGCCTTTTGCATCATAAGTAGGAACTTTTTGATCAATAGTTTCATACATATATCCTACATATCGTTTTTTAGTTTGTAGAACACAGGGTAAATAAACCTGCAAGAACAATATTTTAAATAAAAAACCTTCTGTATATACACTTCAGAAATAAAATAAAATTTTATTTATGTTAAACTGGGAATAGTAATAAATTTTTGAATATAGTATTATTTCAATAGTTAAGAAAACATATAAGCTAAGTTATGAGGGAATGCAGTGAAATTAAAAACTTTTATCGTAAGAAAATAATAACAGTGTTCTCCCCAAGTGAAGTAGGGTGGCCCAACCTGTCTGCCTTTTGATCCCTATAAATACTCTGTAAAAATAAGTCATCATCCCTTAAAAAAACTGCCTTTTTATTCTTATTCCATTTTTAAGAGAAATTAATTAACTGCTAAAATAACAATTACACACAAAAATTATCTGTGTTTATAGGTTTAATTCTGTTTACTATTACAAATATTTACTTTGATAGGATTATTTTCAACTAGTTAAATTTTTAAAAGTTAATCTTTTTTCAAGGAAGTATATAAATAAATTAAGTGATTTAAAATTATTTTTTAAATAAATACCTTTTTTTAAAAAAAATGTTCATTTCTAATTCTCACCTTCAGATGCTCATTTTCTAATAATTTTCAGAAAAAACTATACAAGATATAGAAATTGTATAAATTATTGCAAGGTGTTAAGGGAATCCTTTCAAAACTCAATGTGTCTATTTCTGTGAGGAAAAACCCAGCCCTTTTTTATTCCTAGGGAGAGCTCTGTAATTAAATAATTGAAAAAATATTAATTAAATTTTAAACCAAAATTAATTAATAGCTTTAACAATATACATTAACAAAGAATAGTTTCAATAATAAATGCTTTTGTGGGCCACAGGTTTAGAAATACTAATTACTTAAAAAGTTTAAATTAATAGCATAAGTAAAATTTTATTTTAACCAAAAATACCTTTTCAAACTTTAATTTCACTGGCTTAGGGTTAGTCAAAGTTACAACGTCTGCAATCTCTTGGCCAATCTTGAATGCCTCATCTTTACTTCTTCCTTTCAGCAAGATAAAAAGACTATCTGTATCACCATAAACAACCTTGGCTTCCCATTTTGGAGTGTTTTCTATAATATGAATAGCATTTTCAAGAGTTTCCCTCCCTTTGCCAACAATACTGTCAGCTACTTCAACACAAGGCATTCTACCTGAGAAACTAGCTCCTGTATAACCATATGTTACATTTGCTATTAGCTTTAAACCAAGTTGTCTGGCATCAAGAAGCTTTTTCAAAAAAATATTATCCTTATTCTTCTTTAGAGAGCGTTTCACCATTATTCGGGTGTTTAAGATTTCTTCCAGCATAACCGGAAGAACACCTCTACGCACATTAGCTTTAACAAAAGCAATGCCAGTCGGAGAAACATGAATATTGTTTTCTTTCCATAATTTGCGCAGCATAGGAAGTGGAACAGTTAAAGAGGTGCACCCAAAGTCAAAAGGCACATTTTTACCAAAATGCTCCAATCTACCAAGGCACGTTGAAAAGCAGTAGTTATATGCAATGATCATAGAGGGGTAAAGAGATTGAAAATCTAATACCACAACAGGATCAGTATAAAAATTTGATTCTGGTTCTAATATTAATGGCACACACTCCAGAGCTCGAGAATGTGCGCGTTGCACTGACGAAGGAGACACTGGAACATAAAGAAGAGGGCCGGCAGTTCGTAGCATCATAGATTCAACTCTGAATTGAGATCCCCGACTAAGAACATCATAAAACTGAATTCCAAACAGACGAGCCAATTCACTTGTCCGTCGCACTACATCAAACTTTTCCAAAAGCTGAATCGTGCCAATGACTCTCGTTACATAATAGCGGGCTACAAAACTCTTTTTCATACCTCGGTACCAACACGTTAAGTCGTCAAATGTATACCTTGGTGTACGTCTATGCAAGGCGTGGAAATAAACATTTTCAAAAGAATAGGTATTTAAATTAATTTCCTTTCTCATAATACGCCACACGTTCAACACTATTCTACCAGGTATAATTAGGCTATCAAGATCAGCAGTCTGATCGGTTACGGTGGGATCAATTTCAATGCTCGATCCTTTGGTTGCTTTCTTGGCAGAGAGGCGAGACAGTAAAGAAATTAAATTAACATTCAAAGTTGCTGCTCTGTTCTTCAGATAACCCCAAGAGGTCATTTGAATTTCATAACCTATTAAAATATCTGGATCCCATTCCCTGATGATGCTAATCAACTTTTCAAAAAGCATCATTTCAGTAGGAACAGAAAAAAACTGACAATCATGTACTTTTCTCTCAGACTGCAGAACATTTTTTAAATCAGACATTGCCCTCTCTGATGAATCACTTTGCAGGGAATCCACATGAATTACACCAAGGATCTTTTTCTCATGTATACCAGCATCGTAGTAAATATAATAAAAAACTGCAGAAATGGAGTCGAATCTAGGATCAGGCATGTAACCGTGCCTTGTATTCACGTGAATTTCTAAGCTCATTAATGTCAGAAGTTGAACCTTAAAAGAAAAATGATAAATTATTACATTTAATATTGACTGAACATGCTTGTATATGTATATATATATATATACATACATATATACATAAAAAACAGACACATACTTCATGATTTTCTTTTACATCTTCAATATTAATACTGTTCACTTTAAAACCTTTAGAATTGTCAAGTGTTGGTCCATCAATTTGGGATGATGTTACATTATGGTGAAAGTCCTACAGAACAATTCATTATTATATTTCACATAATAAAACACACAACGAAAGAATTATAAATTTAAAATTGTTTTATTTATTCTTAGCTGAGAAGCCCAGTTTGTAAACAAACTTGTGCTAGCATTTACAATATTAAATAGAATCAAATTCAATACACTTTTGAATGGCAAAGAATATTGAATTTCAAATAAAGTATAAAAACTATATCGGTTTAATATGAACTTTAGTGAAACATGGAATATTAATTTAATTGTTGCAATGTTCATATAGAATATATGACCTTTTCTATGACTCTAGGAAAAAAACAAGATGTAACACCTGTCAGTATAAAATTATTCAAATTATTGAAAAGTAAGATAAAATGAGTATGCATATTAAGACAAAAATGGATATCTTGGAGAATTTGTTATTTAAAAAAAAAAGAAGAAAAAAAAGAATAAGATAGAAGTTACTGCACTTTTGAATGATATTAAAACAAATTATACAGGGTGCATAGCCAAATCTTTCAACAAAAAATAAGCACTTTTTAAGCACTATGTACATTAACAAAATGCAAAATAATTTTCAGAATTTACATGAGCATGATAAAATAACCAGTTTTCGACAAAGAACCCTTTTCTTGTTTATATTAGTCACCATAAAAAGATCAAGAGATATTTTTTGGTTCGATATCAGAGGGTGGAAAATGAAGCCTGAAATGGAGAATATCTTGCAAAATGCAGCAGAGTTGCACATGAGAGTGCAAGAACCTCACTGAACCCAGCTCAGTAGACACACGCGAACTCGCAAGTATTAGATCAAACATGTAAAACATAGATTCTCAACCTTTTTAACGTTGCCGCCCTCTTAATAAGCAAAAAACATATCAACGCCCCCCTTTGTGATAATCCAGTTATTTAGAGCATGAGGACGGAGGGGGTGTGCTGAATTACAAGATGCATTTTTAGGCAATTTTTTAAACGTTAAATTTGCTTGTTTTTTTTAAAAAAATTTAATGTGTACGTTTACTCAATAATTTTCTCCAGGCAGGTAATCACAGTCTATTTGTCAAAAAAAAATAAATATGGTAATGAAAAAAAAATAGTACAACAAAGAAAACTATACTTAAAAAGAGTCACCTGTTCTTAATTAGATAATTAAAAAAACACCCAAAAATAAAAGTAGTATCAACGAAACAATCAAGTTACTATGTCAGTGGAATGATTGTACTTGATGGTTCATAACCAATTTCTTAACGTTCGGCTCAATATTTTTGCTGAGGTGAAGTCGCNTTATCATCTCGTCCTTGTTGCATGATTTCGTGTCTATTTCGTGACTTGATCCATAACAGCACTGAATCCACGTTCGACGAAGTAGGAGAAAGGGAAGGAAATTGAAAATAAGAATGAATTTTGGCAGTCCAGAGTAGAGGCAACTGATGTTACCTTGAAGCCAAAATTCTGTGAGTTATCACCATTTCAAAGCTTCATTAGTTGAAAGTTTGACCGATTCCTCCTGAAACTGAACCTCTTCTGTTTCAATATTCAAAAAAGGGCTAATAACCCATTGAAGGAAACAGAACAAAACATATTTATAACGGTCAGAAAAGTCCATGTGCAAAGAGTCAAAGTGTTAACTATATTCTTGTGTATCATCAGAGGAAATTTCGCCATTCTTTTCAAGATATGATAAGATTTGAAATTGGTTGAACTCATTCCAACCAAATTTCTGCTACCAAAAATAAGTTTTTTTAGAAATGTAGAAATAACTGATTTCGTAGGGATCAAATTGATTTTGTCACCTTGAAGTTGCAAATTAACACCATTTAATTTTGCAAGTAAATCCACCAACGTCTATCTTAAATTCTAGCAATCTGTCTCTCAGAGCTACATTCTGTCTTCGAGGAACTCAAGCACAGAGTCGAAAATATTCAAGAACCTATTGAGACAAGGCTCCTTTGGAAAGTCAGCGAGCCACGGTGTAGTAGCAAGCGATATTCTTCATAGTTTTTCTTAAACAGCTGTCTGAGTAATCAATCATTGAGAACACTGCGAATTTTGTTTGCAGCAGATATAACATATTGCAATGACTGATGCAAACGGTAGCTGAGGTTTTTTCTTATTAAATACTGTCTGTGAATCACGCAGTGAACTGCTAAAATATCTGGTACCACCCTCTTCAAAACGGCGAAAAACCCACCATGTCGACCCACTATTGCAAGGGATATTTTTGATTAAATCGGATGAGGCTGGATAGTGTAAAACTGTTCCTAAAACTTCCTTAACAGCTGGCAGTATCAATTCTTTGCCGATGGCATGACATTACCCAGATTTAGCAATTAATTTTGATATATTATAAAAACTTATCAAACCATTATCACATTTTTGTGATTAGGTTGTCAGTAAGCCTGAGGTCAAAGGTGCCTTCAGAAACTTGTCTTTGATATTCAAGAAAAATGACAAATCTTTATTTTGTTTGTGAGGATGAATATTTTGCAAATGCTTCTGCTAATGAGAAGGCTCAATTGTCTCATTATATTAAACTTTGTTATAAAATAAATTCATGGGTAGTTGAGAGTTCGAGGGCGATTGAACAAATCTAAACTTCAAGTACGTGACACTGTATTGAATACACTTCTTTGTGTAAACCGACATTGTTGGTGGCAGCAAAATATGAATGAAAGAAAATCAACTGTTTTTTCAAATTAATAAATAATTTACGATTAAGAACTAATTCACAAACATACCTGACCAAATAAACAATGAAATCGAATCGAAACTGGGTAAAATTGACGGTCAAATTGAACGGGTCAAATTGAACATTTTTACAAAAAGCGCATGCACTTTAATTCTCACCAAATGGCTGAAATGAGTTAGAGGACTCATGCGCTGCGCTGTGCTTACTTACTTACTTTATTTAAAAACAACTGGGCACCTGGGCCGCTCTGCGGCCCCTATCACATTCATCATGAAATTACAACAATGAGTTAAAAACATTTTGAATATAAGCAGTCGTTGTGGTAGCTTTACAATAACATTACCATGATTAGAGAAAATACAAACTTGAACAGAGATATTTACAATAATTGCCTATGCGCTGTGCTGATTCGGATAGGAGAATATGTATTGCATAAGTTCGTTTTACTGCTGGTATTAATGTTGTATCAGATAATCTAAATTTATTATATTAATTTAATCTTTGTTTTCTTTATTATTAATTTTAGATTAATTTTATTTACTAAATGATTCTTAATTTAATAATTTTATTTGGGAGTATTAAAATTAAATTTGAATAACATAACATGCTCATCGCCCCCATACAGCCCAAAACATACATATTCCCAACGCCCCCGTTGAGAAACACTGATGTAAAATAATTGGCGCTTTCATATGTTACCGACGGTAAGCTGAAATGGATTGCGGTTGAATGAATTGCAAAAACATTGAATAGAACAATGTGAAAATCGTGCACTTTGCATAATATGTAACGAAAATCGACATACTAAAAAAAAGGGGGGGGGGGAATCAAGCACCTTTTAAAATTACCCAACGAAAAAAGCAACCTAAAGGGTTTTTAAAAAACAAAAATCGAAAAAAGCACATTTAAGCACTTTTTAAAATCGTTATGCACCATGTAATAGTACCCTTTTTTAACATATAATTCTATATTTATTTGCCATTATTATCGTGATCATAATTAAAACACTTATTTGCAAGCAAATAATTTAAAATTTTTAAGGAATTTTTTTGTCAAATTTTTACTGATATAAAATTTTTAATTTGAAAATTGGAGGAATAGATGAATTTAAAGTAATATTATGATAATAATATATTTTAAAGCAATTAACATAAGCAAAAATTAAATAATTTTGCTTGATGGCTGTTCTGAAGAACTAAAGGACAATATAATAAAATAAATTAGAGTATTTATGTAAACATTAAAATAAATCTATACACTTAATAATTAATAGATGTTTGCTTGCTTTTCTATTTTAATTTTTTTAAAACTTAATGAAAGAAATTTTAGCGATTCAGAAGCTGAAACTCAACCAATTTAAATCTCTTAAAAGTGAGCATATAAATATATAATTTATGTCCATTTAATGTATTTAGCTGCTGTTGACTACCATCTAAAAAGAATCTGACTACTATTTAAAAAGAATAGTTTTTCCTTTTATTAAGTGTACATTGTTCATCATAAAGACAATTAAGTTTGAGAATAAAAAATCGTGTGATTAAAAAAAAAGCAAAAAATTATCATTATTAAAATTTGATAACAAGAGTCTCAGAATTGGATATTAATAAATTTAAATGCCTTTTGAGCGAATAAGAAAAAAAAGCATATTTATATTAGAAATTATACTATAGTGAACTCTCACTTATGCACCGGTGTAAGGGGCCAAGAGAAAAAAGCGCAGTGAAAAACTTCAAAATTCTAAAACGCAAAGTAAATTGCAGTGACAATATGAATAAATATGTTTCTAAAGATTAAATGTTAATATTTATACTGTTTTGGTATTTACTATAATTACACAAAGAAAAAATTTAACATACCTTAAAACAATTTATTTTCCTACAAAATAATCATAATACATGTTTGTATTTGTTTTTGCCGACGTTATTCAAAAACAGTTTTTTCCAGTTCATATAAATGGGATAAGGGAGAGGTTTCAGAAGCAAAATTTAATTGTAAATAGTCAGGAATAGTGTCTAAAGCTTTCAATACTGCCGTGTGATTTGGAGGAACTTTATCATCTCGTCAGTACCATCCACCACATTCTCATCGTTCACAAGTTTTAGTTAGATATAAATGAACTGTTCTTCACAAAAAGTTTGAGTTTTATGGGAGGGGGTGAAATAGCACATGATAAACTTCTAAGAAAAGTACTCGACGTCATAATATGCTGCACAATAAGTGGTTCAAGTACTTCTGTCACTAAACAGATCACTTCCTTTTATTTATTCATAATGTCCATCTGACTGCAAGTAAATGATCACGGTCTCTTTCATCTTTCATATTCCAGGTCTTTTTTTCTAGAAAACAGCATGGGAGTAAAACTAACCTCTGGACAAGAGGAATGGTCATTTTCTAAAAGATGAATGGGCTTTCATTTTTGTTGGTGCAACAGATAAGACACCCTATTAAAAATTCTAGAAAGAATGTCTTTCCAGAAACAGCAAAAATGAAAGGTCACAGGGAGAAGCAAATTCAATAGGATCTAACAACATATATTTCTTTTTATCTGCAACAAGGATTGCTTATTTGCTTCATTTTTATTTTAAACATTTTTTTTAAAAAAGAAAAAATATTTAAAGGATTAAAAAATTAAAATGTTAGCCTAAAATTTCGGCACATAACTGAAAAATTTATTTTTAGAGCGACGCATAAGAGAAGGATGTTTATCATTATTTTTCTATCTAATGTACTGGGACCTATAAAAATCGTCGTATAAATGAAAAAGATGCATAAGTGAAAGGTCACTGTATATTAGAATTAAATATATACATATTGTTTTAAATATTTTATAACTTATTGACTCTAGCACTAGTTTTTACGTAAGAATTTAAACTTTAGATCCTTAAATAATGCATATGGACAAGTTTCTTGCAGTTGATAACTTAAACTAATTTTTGTTATTTGCTGAAAATGTTTTGGTTTTTTGTAGATTTCCAGATTTTACAAGTTATACTTAACTTATTTCTTAAAAGAAAGTTGCTAACTTAGAAATAAATCTTTTAAATGCAAATTGCATTGGAAAAAAATGATAACAGAAAAAGAAATAATAATCTCACCATTTCATTTCGGAGCTTTCTATCCCAAGTTTCATGTTCAGTTTTGCTCAATTTCTGATGTCTCTCATTAGGAAGGATTTCATCAGGAAATAAACATTTTTTCCTATCTGCATCTCTTGTCAACAAACTATTTTTGTTAATAGGAGATACGCCAATTTCTTTAGGAATCAAAGTTCTTCTTTTCATTCTGCTAACACAGGGCGTGGATTCTAAATTATTTGTAGAATGTTGTTTCAAGATAGAAACTGATGATATTTCTTGGTCAGGAAGATCACTGCCTCGTTTTACTTCCATTTCTGAAGACGCTGCTACAACAGAATCTTCATTGATATCTGTACTAGATGCAGAGCTTAAATTAGAATGTTGATACATCATATCGTCGGTGACAGAATCCTCTGAAAAGTTGGACTCTTCATCGTGAGATTCTAAATTAATGGCTTCTTTGAATTTACGTTCATTTTGACCACTACTGGTAGCCCAATCTTTTACTTCAGAGGGTCTCGGTGGTTTTTTAGGAAACACATACATGAATTTATCAAAAGTGGATTCATTCAGTCCTCGTTCTTTGAGATTCTCTGATGGTTGTAAAATGCTAGGGCTTATGGACGTTGAATTGAAGTCTTTTTCATTTTTTTTCAAATCATCCATTTTATTATTATTTGTAACTTCTTCAATATCGTGCACATCATTGTCTACTTGTGTATTACTGTTAAAAGTCAAAGTTGAATTTAATTCACACAATGTTTCATCACCATAAAAACTCTGAATAGTGTCATTATAAGTGAAAGAACTAGACTCATCATCATTTTTTAAAACATTCTGACTATCAGGAGATGGGCAAGGAGATTTAGGATTATTTTTTAGAGAAAAAAGAGGAAAGCAGATATTTTTATTATTCACAAAAACACTCTTCAACTTATCTTTTAAAATCAGATCAGAATTTTCAAAAGCTTTTCTAAGTTTTAATGAAACTAAATTTTCAATATTTTCAGACAATTCTGGAGAGCCAGTTTTTTGGATTATCTTCAGAATATCTTCTTCACACACACGTTTTTCAATTTGCTTTAAAAGTGTAGATGTAAGTAAATTTTGAGTTTTTAATTGATTTATGTCTAAACTAGCTAACTGCTTGCCTAAAAAAGGTTTTGAGTTTTTTGAAGGGATTTTATCTTGATTCAGAGAGTGCTTTGTTGAAGATGTACAAATAACTTTGTCACAGTTTTTATGGGAATCATTGTTCAAAACTCTATTTTTATGCTGCTGTTCATCAGAGTGAAAACAAGGGTTGTGGGTGACATCAGAATTATTTTCACTGCCATCAAACTTAGAATGTAGCTCTACTTCATTAAAAAGTTCTGGGGATGGAATTTGACTAGATGAGAAACTTAATGGCACTTCCATTTCATCAGTAGGGGAGGGATTTTGTTTATCACCACATAACACACTTTTCGGCACGCTGCTGACAAGGCCTAAGGTATGTTTATGTTTTTTCTGGGGTGATGGAACAGCAGTTTCCATCACCCCAAAATCATTTGGGTGTTTCCGATCTATTTCTATAGTGTTGGTTTCATTGAGTTGAGGGGAAAAATTATGTTGAGTTCTCCCTAAAAAATCCTTCTGCATATCACGGGAATAGGGACTATTTTTTGGTGTGGTTTCAAGATTTGTACAAAGAGTATCAGGAGAGTTACAGTTTGGTGTGTTTGTTTTGAAGTAAAATTGATCTTTCCGACCAACCTGTAAATCGGGTTCAGAATAAACAGTTTTATCCTCTTCCATCAGTTCATTATCAGGATCATATTCCTCCCCAATATTGCATTCCTTCACAGCCACACTTAATATATCAAGTTTCTCATTAGGTTGTATGATGGATTGAGCATTACTTGGAGTATCAGTATCAGATGTGCTACTTACAGAACAGCTTTGAACAAGTTCATTCCTTTGAGAATAGGTTTCTTCATTTACTGAGCTTCCAGTAACAATGATAGGGGCAGTGTTATAAAGAAGATTGACCTGGTGAGTAGCTGGTTCAGCAACCATCACAGTCGGCACAAAATTTATGCTAGGACGATTTGCTGAAGAATGAGTTGTATAATATTCACTTAAAGGATCACAAACAGAAATCATGTTACAGTTATATGGAATCTCAAAAAGGCTAGTTGCATTACTTGGGTTGATGATAGCATTTGCGTCTGATACAGTTTCCGGACGAGCGATAAAATCACCTGCACTTAGAGCATCATTGGCAGGTGGATAAAGTGGTTGTGAAGTTTTTGTTGTGACTTCCGGATAATAAGTAGGAACTAGGGGTTTTACAGGCAAAGTAGGGATAAAGTTCATATTATTAGCTCCAAAACTACTACAATTAGTAATTATGTTACTATTACTCAAATTTTGAGTCATGTTATTCTTGAATTCTTCGATAGGATTCAGGCCGATTGAGCCTAATGGATGCAATTCTGAATCGCTTTCAATCATACCTTCTGATAAATCAAAAGTTCTTACTTCAAAATGAGAGCTTTTGTTTTCAAAATTGGGTACAATTGGTTGAGCGAATTGATGAGCTTTGTTTTTTATAGTATTCCTGTTGAAAAAATTCATACTACCTTCATTGCTTCGAGGTGGAATTTGTAGGCTATCAGTAAGTTTGTTTTCATTAGGTGAAGACTGGTTATCTGAGAATGCATGACCATCCATGAGAAATGCATCACTAGCAGGAGAAATGTCCATCTTATCTGATGTTATATCAAAAGAGGAGTCATCATGGGATGAATCTAATACACTACCTACATTATTTTTATTTGCTGTAAACAGTTCATTATTGTCAGATGGTCTGGTTTCTAAAGGCATATGATTTGATAAATGCCTTATGTGTGGAGAAGAGTTCAATCTGCAATCTTTATTTGTAAATGGTTGCTGATCAGATGTTACCTTTATCGACTCCTCACGCCTATTATGAAAACTTATGTTAGAAGTAAGATCATTCATATTATTCATTACATGATCATACGAGGGTGATCCTTTCCTCATATATTCAGGAATATTGCTGTGCACATTTTGTGAGGTGAATCCCGGATCCAACGGATAATGAGGAATAGTTTTCTTATTGCTTTCAAAAGAATTTATAGGCTTTTGTAACATATTTACATTGGTTGCCTCACAAGCAGATGGATGATTAGAGGTAGGACTGCAAGACAAATTAAATTGATCAATATCATTCAGAATGGGGTTGTTGATGTTAGGGATAGAAGGATGAGAAGTAAATGACTTTTCCATAGAGGTCTGATTGTTCAGATCATTATATGCCTTAGGCATATCATTCATACAATCCGGAAGATAACTATAATTCCTGTCACTGGTACCATAATTATAATTTTGTTCAGCAAAGTTAGGTTGAGATTGAGAAAAGTTACAAGCATTCTCTTGCTCCAAAGTTGATTCCGGTATGTTGTAATTACATGGAGAGAAATAAGCTGAATTCAAAACATCAGGATTTGAATCAACTGGACTAGACATTTCTTGCTTAACAGGATCATCACTGTAAGTTTGCTGCATATCCCAAGGGGGCAATAAGTCATCCTGTTGAGATTGGTCATAAGCTAAACTTGTTGAAGAACCATTGTAAGGCCTCATTTTAGGTGACTGTTCCAAAGGCTCAAAATAATTATTCATATTTTGTATACTAGACAAATTTGAGGACAGAGGTTGAATGTTAGATGTATTTCCATACTGTAAGAAATTGTCAAATGGGGGTGACACATTTGATTGAGGAATATTTATTTTTTTCGACAAATGTTCAGATGAATATTTGTAACTACTGACTTTATTGATTTCATCAACAGTCTCCGATATTATTTCTACATCTGAGTCATTTGAGGGCATTTTATTAATATGGCAAGTCATATTTTGTGGTTTAGTTTCTTTTCTGTAGGTAGTTAAATTAGAAATGTCCGTGGAAGAAAGCTTTTTCAAGTTGATGGAGAAAGAGTTGCAACTCTCCAAAAGATTTTGAACTTGCAATCTCCTGTAATTAGTAGTGAAGTTGGCATCCTTAGTTGAATCTGAGCTTATTTTTCCTGGAGCTGAATTCTTACGTGATCTTTTCCTTGGCGATTTTTGAAGATCTTCCTTTTCTTCATCAGAATTTTGATCTGTTGGGAAGTATTTTACATCATGGCGGGGTCGTAAACTCTCTCTTCTGGTTATTACCCTATTAGCTGGTTTGAAGATCGGACTTGATAATGTTTCTGTATCAGGGTACATATCATTGTTAACTTCAAATGATGTTCTTGAGGCAGATTCTTGTTTATGAACTTTGCCTGGTTTACGACCACGTTTTTTAGGGATTTTAATTTCTTGAACATAACCATCCGAATCTACCTCTTGCTTGATGACAACTCCACCAATAATTTGAGGTGTAAAAGTAGAAATATTATAGTCATGTGGAACTGGATGCAGTGAGTTGTCAATTTTGGTTGCACATTCAGCAGCAGGCTTTTTCAAAATACGAATTTTTGAGTTGGGAGATGAATTATCAATACAAAATGAACTCTGAAATTTTAAAGGTGAAACATCTTTCTGAGGGGAGGCAGTTTTTTGAACAATCACAGGACTATTCAACGAAGGTACCTTCCTTGGTCTTCCTCGGCCACGTTTAATAGGTTGGACTGATTGTTGAAAAACAAAGTCATTTTCATTTTGAGGAGTTTCTTCATCACTAAGGATTTCTTTTTTAATAGTATATTCACCAATTGAAATAGAGTTTGGATTTCGTGTCAAAGTTAATGTTTTGATTTTTTCCACCTCTTCACAAGTCACACGAGATGATGCTAAATTGATTTTTAAAGGTGCGATCTTTTTAGATTCATCATGAAAAGCAGCATTTATTTCGCTTGATGGTTGAAGATATTTTTCAGCACGATGGTCTTTCTTGTGACTGGATGATAGTCTTCTCCTTTTGAAGGTTTTTGTCTTTGGTGGTTCTGGTTCATATCGAAATATTTCTTGAACACTGTCACTATCACTTTTATTTCCATCTTCTAATCCTTTTAGCTCTTTATTTACGACTACAACTCTTGTCTCGTTATTACGTGTAGTTAACCATTTCAGCGAAATTTTCATTTTAGGAATGCCAATACTAGGCGACACAGCAGTTCCTTCATTAAAATCTTCAGAGGGAATTTTAGTCGGTGACAAATGGTTAGAAGAATGTTTCCTTTTAGAATCAGTTTTTAAATGTTTGCCTTTATCCTTATGTGAGTGTTTATGAGGACTTTTTACAGGCTTTACGGTGTCAATGATTGTAACAGAATCGTCTGAACTATATGGATCTGAGGATTTATTTGAATTAAGAGAGTTATTACATTGATTTTTTGAATCATTAACAAGTTTTTCTTTACATTTACGAGGATGTCTAGTAATAAATACAGGCTCAATTTTTGGAGTGACATCAATTTGCTTTGTTTTGCTCTTAGTTTTAAATGTTTCATCTTTCAAATGGCCTTTAACTTTTCGACGACGTGATTTTACACCGAGATTTAATTTTTGCATTCGATTTTTTTGTTTACCAGAAATACCACACTTAGTAATTTTTGAATGCTTTGATAAACGACTTACTTTCTCTTCAGAAATTAAATTTGGTGGTTCATTAAAAGAGTCTTTAAAATTTGGCGATAACTTTCCTTTTAATAAGACTTTGCTTATGCTTTGTTTATCAATTTGTGCATTTTCCGGGCTTCCTAGCTTTATTCGAAGGCAGGAATCAGATACTATCTCAGAAACACGCTCTTTAGATTTCTTTTTGACAGCAAATTTGCTTTCGCCAAACAAACGTCTGTCAACCATCCACTTCTTTTTTGCACTACTTTGCAAAACATTTTTTGCCTTCGTGACAGAATTTTCTTTTTTATTTAGTTTTAAAGAAAGTTTATTACTGGTGTTCTTAACGCACGAAAAAAGTCTTTGAGGTGTCTTTTGCAAAATATTTGGAGAAGATGACTCGTCAGGAGCATCGATATTATTCATGCCGTGTGCATCGTTTTTGGAATGATTGGAATTCACATTAATATAATTTTTTATAGACTGAATTGGTGATTCAATTGAGATTTCTGATATGATTTCCTCTGGGCTAATAATATTTGAGTCAATACTTTCTTCTTTTTCCAGCATACTTTGATTTATTGAAAGTTCAGGTTCAATATTTATTAAAATTTGATTCTCATTGCTGTTTGCTGTACTGCTATCAGATGAATTCTCCTTAGTATCTTTAGATTCATAAGAATCTGAGACACATTTCTCAGAACCTATGTCAGAGTGTTTTTCAATAGAGTTATCAGAAATTACATTCTTTGTATCACCTTCCAAAATGAGCTGTGTTTCTTGACATTCTAGTGAACCATCATTAGTTACTTCATTAAGGCAATTATTTCCTCTGGGTGAAATAATACCATTATCTTGAATGTTATGAGCAGTTTCTGATTTGGACGAATTCTCCCCAGAAAGTTGTTCATTTTCATTAGTGTCTCTAAATGATGATGTACGGAAACTGAATTCAGCATTTTCATTGGAGTTATGGCTTGAAAAAATTGGTGCTTTATGAGATAAATCATTTTCAGGTAAATTTCTTTTGTCAAGTTCTTTATCTCTAAACGTCATATCATCAGAACACTTTTCTTTTAGATAAGTGACTGAATTACATTCATTAGTTTTCTTATTTAGAAAGCTATCTTGGCACTTACATTTAAATGCTTTTTTCTTGCATTTTACACACCTTTCGACAGACTTAATATTTTTACTAATCAATCCTTCAGAGGATTTTTTTGAATGCTTCTTTAATTTCCCTGATTCAAAAGAGTGAGTTTTGTTTTCTGCTTTTACAGTACAATCATTTTCAACTTTAAAAGATAAACTACAGTGAGAGGATGATGTGTCAACAGCTTCTGGCAGCTCCTCTTTTGTTGTATTTTTATATTTAATTAATTCACTGTAAGATAATTTTTGAAGCTTTACAACAGGCAGTTTTGCGGGCAAGGCAACTTCTTTTTGTGGAAGACTTTTCGCATTACTTGTTCCAAGCATGCTTGCAGTTTTTAACATATCTGGTATATTTTCAGTACCTTTATTAAGAAGAGAGTTAGTTGAGTTTTTCAGTTGGTCTTGTTTTAATGCCTGCACAGAATCTTGTTTGGGATCAGCAATTAAATTTGGCTTTCCTTCAGTTAGCATGCTATCATCTTGCAGTCTATAATTAACTAACTTTTTGGGAGGATTAGAGGCAGTATTCCTATTTAAGTTTTGCTTATTCTTTTTCAAAGAAAGGGATTTAATTTCTTTTTGTTTTGAACTTTTGCTTTTGTCATTATCAGCTACCTTGTTTTTATCGGGAGATAACTGCAAATTTTCTTTAGAATTTCCTTTAATATCTTCGACTGCTTTTACAAAATTTGTTGGTGAAACAGAAGTATCTAACTGGATTAAAGATTCCATAGTTTCATTTAATTTTTGTTTGTTCTTCTTCAAAGAAAGAGATTTAATTTCTTTGCTTTTGGTATTTTTGTTTTTATCATTTTCCATCTTTTTGCTTTTTTCACTTTCAATTTTCTGGTTTTTGTCACTCTCACTTTTCTTGCTTACATCACTTCCAACTTTTTTGCTTTTTTCCCTTTCACCTTTCTTGCTCTTGTCGCTTCCAACCTTCTTACTCTTGTCATTTTCAACTTTAGAGCTTTTGTCACTTTCAATTTTCTTACTTTTGACGCTTTCATCTTTCTTGCTTTTATCTCTTTCAACTTTCTTACTTTTATCACTTTCAACTTTTTTGCTTCTGTCGCTTTCAACTTTTTTGCTTCTGTCACTTTCAACTTTTTTGCTTCTGTCGCTTTCAACTTTTTTGACTTTGTCAACTACAACCTTCTTGCACATGTCTTTTTCAACTTTCCTGCTTTTGTCGCTTTCCACTTTTTTGCTTTTGTCGCTTTCCACTTTTTTGCTTTTGTCGGTTTCAACTTTCTTGCTTTTGTCACTTTCTACTTTTTTGCTTTTGTCACTTTCTACTTTTTTGCTTTTGTCGTTTTCAACTTTTTTGTTTTTGCCACTTGCAAACTTCCTGTTTTTATCTAGCTTTTCTTTTGGATTCCGTTTAAAATCTTCCACTGCCTTTTTAGAAAGCTTTGAGGAGCTTGCTTTATCTAAATTCATAAGAGAACTTTGAGAAACTTTAGAATTTTTGGAAGATGTTGCCGTTTTAAGTCTCTGCTCATTAGAAAATGAGTTAGCTTCTACTACAAGTTTATCAAAATGATCAGCTTTTGATTTATTTAACGATTCTTCTTCGCTGAATTTATCTGTTTTTCCATGATTCTCACCTTTAGTCTTAGTACCTGAATTTTTTGAGCTCTTTTTAGAAAGGTTAGCACCAGATGGATGGATTTGTTTGAATTCAAGCTGGTTCATTCGATCCTGCTTTGTAGTAGAGTTCTCAACTGGTTCAATGGCATGAACACTTTTATGGCTGATAAGTGTCCCATTAAAGATTGGCAATGGCACTTCACACATAGAAGATTTCATAAAGTCTGGTTGAAAGGAGTTTGTTTTAGAATTACTTAATTTAGAACTTTTAAGCTTTTTTGCAGAGTTATGGCTTAATCCAAAACTTTGCAAAGTACTATGTGGAGGGATGTTATTAGATGCATCAGAATATAGTGAGTTATCATTACTAATTAAAATATTATCTAAACCATCATTTGTAGGAAATGAGTCCATAGCTGCATTTACCATAGACGCTATTTCATTTTGAAAATTTTTGATTTCTTTAGGTTTTGAAACCATGTTTTGACTGATCTCTTTGCTAATGTTTAAGTCAGAGGAATTTTCTGGGTACTTTTTTGTTGGATCAATATATTTCGAATTAATACATTTGATATGATCCTTTTTACTTTTTTCTGATCTTCTGTGTTTGGAAGATGACAGATGCTTACGTTTGGATGAACTTTTAACACTGGACTTAGCAGTAGTTTTTCCAGCAAATTTGTCATTACAGTCAGAAGATTTCGATGTATAATTTAAAATATCGGCATCAGATAATTTTTTTAACCTAACATATTCACTACCCACTTTGCTACTGTGGGTTGAAGAGCTTTGATTGGAATCAGGCAAAATAAATTCTGCTTCTTCTACCTTAACGATGGAGGTGTCAATTAAAGGCAACAAATTGCTACTTTCAGTACTATTTGAAAGACTGGAAAATGATTTCTCAATTGAACTGTGTTTGGAAAAAAACGAATTCCCAAAACTATTTGAGAAAACATCAGGTTCAAACTGCCTATAAGATTCACAGAATGAATTTGTTGATTCTTGACATTTATAGTCAAACAGATTTGTATCTGCATAAGGATTGTAAATTATATCATCACCTTCATCATTTACAGGAGATAAAGGTTCTTGTTTTATTTGAATGGGAGGCATGAAAATGGATTCAGTAAATGGGGTAACAGTCGACATTTCACTGGACTCATCTTTTCGTGGCAATTCCTTATCAGTCGGAAATAGTGGAACAAAGTCTCTAGTATTTGTTTCTATACTAAGCCCTGATGAATTGGTACTAACACTATCCTCAGAAATAGTTTCACATGATACTGATGGTTTGGTATTTTTCACAGCATTATCTGATGGTTCATATTTACCATCTTTCTTTTCCTCTCTTTTAAATTCTGGCATAGGAGGTAAATCTTTCAGGTCTGCTTTAAGCTTACTGTGAGCTTCAAGAGTAATCTGATTTTCTAATGAAATTTCTGAAGACTTAGATTGAACATATTGATCGAGGAATTTATTCCTAATAAGGGACACGCAGCATGGTTTAACAATGGAAGTTTGAAATGCCCTAGTTATTTCTGTAGGAGTTTTTGAACATTTTTCTGACATCGCACAATCCTCTAAATTTGATCTATTTTTCAAAAATGCACCGCAATCAACAGATTTCCATGGCAAAAACAAGTTCTGTTTTTGTTCAGGAGACTCTACTTTTGACAACTTAGGTTCTTCTATGCATGTAATTTGCTCAACAACCTTGTTCTCAGATGGAAGCACTGTTTTCTCTTTTTCATCTTGAGATGTAGTAAAATGACTTGGTGCAGTGATATTTGAATCTGTCGAATTTCTCTCAAGGCTTTTCTCATTATTAGTGACACAAGCAGTGAGATCATTTTCTGGCTCTAATATTGGGGGCTCATCACTAAAATTTGAGTCACTTTGGCAACGAGGGGTTATGTCACCACCTTCTTTTGACAGTTTTGGAACTAAAAAAGAAATATATAACTTTTACAAAATGGCAACAAAAACTAATATTAAAAGAAAAGTTAAATTATCATTTTCCAGCTAGCTTTTGAAAGCTAAATTTAAAAAAAATATATATTAAATTACCAATTAAGACTAAAACTATAAACTTCACAGAGTTGACAGAACTAGACCCTAAAAATAAAAATTTGACAAGAACTGTCTACAACTTGGACTCCACTCAAACAATAAAGAAATAAAAAATTATTTTTTCTTTAATTCCAGTTTTTTTAAACTAATTTTTTATCTATTAATTAAGTAGACTTGTCAAAGAATAATGACCAAACAATCTCCTGCAGCAAAAGAAAAAAAAATGGGCAGTGGGTAATTCATTTTCCATTGCCCACATCATTGCAACAAGTGTAATACTAAAAGTAATAAAAAAAAAAAATTAGAATGAATACTGCATTCTTATTGAGATGCCCTGTACATTTTGTACAAGACATTTTGAATGATTATTGTTTTTCTTAGAAAATAGAAGATGTTTAAATGAAACATGAAAAAAAAATAGAGCACATGATTTTCCTGCGTGTTTATTTATTTATTTTATGAAGACTATGATAATAATAGGTCTAAACTAAAATATGACTTTAAATGTTTAGCATCACTGACTTACCAAAACTTGCAGAATCTTCATCATCATATGTTCCATCCAATTGATGGACGTTAATTGCATCTCTCATATCTGTGCTTACTTCGTCACAAGAAACAAATGATGAAGATAGATTGTGAAAGAAGTCATCTCTCTGAGACATTTCAGCTTCTTCTGCTTCATCATCTTCTTTGGATATTTCATTCTTGGTCCCTAATATACTGTCTTCATCAGGCATGTTTGATTGACTGTTGGCAAGGTCCATAAATACTTGTAGTAGTTGGTTATCCTCTGTATTACCTAAAATGGCAATAGTTATCCTCAAATAAAGACTAAAAAACAAATGCATAAAATTTTTCCGTTTATAGGATTAAGTGACTAAAAAGGCAGACAGAAAGAAAAATACCATTTATGCTCACAAAACCCTGAAGAGTACAAACATTAATTACACTAACTTATTTTAAAACTGTTTTATTAATCAAATTTTTTTCACAAGTTTACTATTCTCTGTATAACTATTTGACAATTAATTTTTTCTTTTAAAAAAGAAAGCTTTGCTGCAGATGTAAACAATATTTTTCATAAATATACAAGAATCCTCAAGTTGTAAAATTCCTTGAGGAGGCTCAACTTAAGACAGGGTTTAGAAATCTGATCTCCTTATTTTAAGTACTAACTAAAAAATGCATAGTAAAAAAAAGAAACATAATACAAGATTTTAAAAAATGACAAGTTTAAATATAACACAAAATTTTTGAAATCTACTTCAGAATTTTTTTAAAAAAATTTTGTTAAATTCACTTAGCAATATTTTTAACTCAGGTTAACTAGTGCTAAAAAAACAATAAAATTTGCTTAATTGCATTGAAAATTTGGGACTTTATGCTCTTTTACATTAGAAATAAATGTAGGGTATAAATAATTTAGAAAAATCCTTGTATAATGTAAGTAAATAACAATAGTGATACTAAACTAAGAGCATTATTTAACACTTCCATGATCACTAAGAATTTTTACTTGTCTACATAGAAACTATCAAGGAATAAAAGTACTTTAAAATACATATTGTTATATAATTTACCAGGGAATTTAAAATTAGCTCATTTTAAAAGAAATTCACATTAAGCATGTTAATGAGGTTCAACAGTAATAGGTATAATCTGTAATAGGTAATGAATATTTCATTTTACAAGAAAAAAGGCAACTTACTTAGACCAAATAAATCAGAAAGCGATTTGTTTGAAAGAGTGCTCTGCGAATCTACAAGAGAAAATTTTTTATAAAATATTTATCTATGATGACTAATTTATTTATTAGGATTAATTCATGCTGTTAATTAAGAATGAATTTAAAATTAATAATGCGCAATTAAAACAATTTATTATAAACTTAAATATTCTTGCCTCATTCTACAGTAAAGTTAAAAATAATTAGCTGCAATTATTAGAATATTAAATTAATAGAAGGAATTATCATAAATTTTTTTGGCAACAAATTTATAAGCAAAATCAAAAGAAGCACACCAAGAACTCATAATTTTACAAAATGTTTTAAAAAATTTAAGAAAAGAACAAATGATTTTTTAAACAATATCAGAAAGAATTAAACTACGTCAAATAATCATTATTTAAAAAAAAGAAGAAAAAAAAACAACATTTCTACACATTAACTGTTTATTGACCCAGTATACAAGAAAAACAGAAACTAAAATGAATTTGTAAAGTGAGCTATTTCACTTTATAAGATATTTAATAATAAAAAAGAACAGTAACAGAATAAAACACGTAAAATCTAAGATAATACATAAGTATAAATGAAAGAATATATAACCAAATATTTAGTATATATGTTGCATGTTTAATACTGAAAAATGGCTAAACAAATATTACCTGGAAAATTGGACTCATCGATTTCTTCAGTTTTATTTAAGTTAATGCTGTAAGAAAATATAATTAATAAGCAAAAATTAAGATGTGTTAAAAGAGTACATTTTAATGCTTAGAAAAAAATACAATTTTAATTCTAGCACTTTAGTACTGATCAAATTTTAAGTTCATTGAAAGAAAAATATTAAGCTTAAAAATTATTTCCTTTTTTTTTTTTTTTAAATAAAAGTTCAATTGAATAAACTTAAAATTATCAAATGTGTCCTACTTATAAATTTAAAATGTAACTGGTTATAAATACAGAACAAAGACATTTAACATGAGTAAAATTTATACTTAGGAGCAGTTTAAAATAGACTTCATAATTGCCAAAAATAATAAAACTCAATATCTTTACACATGAAAAAAAAAAAAATTAAAAAAAAAAACTTAGAGGCATGATAGTACAAGGAGGGCCAAGGCATACATTATACATTCTAGTTTTCTCAACCTTGGGCTTTGGGATGCAGGAGATGTTTCAGTTTTTTATTAAAACATGGAACTCTCAGTGTCTAACTCACAAGCATAATTTTTACTGCTTATCAACCCACTGAAGGAATGAAAGGCCGAGTCAACCTTGCTCAGACAGAGATTAGAACTCAGAACCTGTGACACGGATGAACAAAGCGCTACTACTCAGCCACTGGGAGTGTCCTTTATCCTAAGGATTGTCCCCCCGCTAAGGTGAGCATTAGTCCTAGCTGCTTTCAGCCCAAAACCAAATTTCTACCTTGTTATTCAATATAAATCCCTGTACAATTCTGACCAACAGCTCAACAATTGGAGGGTTAAGAGATCATAACTATATAGGTATCTCACTTATCTACTCACTATCTACTTTTATCACTCACTATCCACTAGGAAACATACCCTGTGAATAAGATCAAAATTCTACCAGGCAATTTTTAATAAAATTCAAAAATATTCGTTATCTTAATTATATTAATAAAACTATATAAAATTGAAGGCATATTATTATTATTTTTTTTTAGAAACAGCAACAGAAAACCTTTATGGTTTATCGTTGTACAAACAGCATAAGATAAAAATGAAACATATCTAATAAAAGCATTTTAAGTACAAATGTTGCAATTTAAAATAATTTTTCATAAAATAAATTTTTTTTTATTACTTACCAAAGTTTTTTTTTTTTTAAAAAAAAAGAGAATTTAAAAATATTCTGCAGAAATTTTTTTTCTCAATAAGTTGCAATTTAAGAGTATTCAAAACCAGTTACGTTTAAAGCTAAACAATTAAAAAAATTAATTTAAAATATCTTAATGACTATAATTTAATGCATTTAAGAAAGCTCCAATAAATATGAAGTGTTTTTATCAATGTACGAAGGAAAAAAAAACGCTTTAATAAATACAATTTCAAACTTTCATTAGAAGTAGAATCTAAACCTTTTCTGCACGTAAAACGAATAGCTTTAACAAGAAGCTTAACTCTAAATCATAATCTATTGTGTCTAGTCCTTTTAGAGGCAATTCTAAAATATTATCACAAAATCACAAGAATAATTATTATTTTCAAAATACTTATGAGCATTAAAATGCTTTTAATTTCATAAATGAAAAGTTTCAAGCACTTAGTTGTAAAAGAAGTCTTTTTTATTTATCAAGAGTGACCAGCAATTTTTTTGAAAATAGCTAGTTATAACGAGCTATTTTGCCTTCAAAGAAATAGTTCAATGAATAAAAAATGCTTTCTGCTTGAAATCTCACATTAATTCAAGTTTTTCCTTTTTAGCATTTTGCCATACAATTTAAAATGACAGATTTTTAAATACAAATAAAATAAAAAAAATTAAAATTATTTTCAAGATGATTTCAGGACATTTAATATTATACCCAAAATACTATTAAAAAAAAAATGGGACTAAAGCATAAATGGATTAATAAACTTTGCATCAGTTAATGTCATTGCTTTAGATAACAGAGAACAAAAACAACCTGATTCTAATACAGTTTCACCATTTACTTTAAGTCTCACTAGAGATTATCTGAAATTTATAACAACTATTTACCTTTCCTCTCTTTCATGTAATATATTCTCCAGCCTTTTATATAGAACTTCATTTTGTGTTTGTACTCTACTTCTTTCTGTTAACAAAAATAAACATGAGAGATACATTAAATATAAGGAAAAGGAATATAAAATAATTCCACATAGTTTTCATGTTCAAAAGGCTGCTTAAATATTAAATGTACTACAGCTTAAAAAGAAATGAAAAGAATCAAGAGCAAAAACTTATATTTTACAAGACAATTTAAACTTAGAATATAAATTTACAATAACAATCTGAACATAAAAAATTAAGAAAGGAAATAACTGTTAAATTTGAAATAAAATTTTTACATTTTAAATAAATTAAAGTATAGATATAGATACAATGCAAAGTTCTTTGTCTGGACCTCCATCTACTGGGAGGGTCACTACTCCGGACACTTTTTAAGAATCAAAATAAACAAAACTCTTTTCCTTTTTCACAAAAGAATAAACACTCAGTTTCACTCAACTTCAATCTCACACACTCAATTTCACATTTTGAAAAATTTCACATTTGAGACTTAATGATCATTCATTAAGTTATTATTCAAAAGTGCAACAAAGAATTCATAGATTATAATAATATTCTATTAAAATTTTAAAAACTATGAGAAAATCCCAAACGGTTAAAAATGCAATAAAAAAAACTGCAATGACAACAAAATTGTAACAAATTTAGTGCATCTAAAACAGGGTGCATAGCCAAATCTTTCAATAAAAAATAAGCACCTTTTAAGTACTTTTTAAACACTCAAAAAAAATTTTTTTGGCACTATATACATTAACAAAATACAAAACAATTTTCAAAGACTTTAGATGATCATGATAAAATAACTAGTTTCTGACAAAGATCTCTTTCGGAATTGACAATCCTCTATTTGTTATTTTTATTCAATAAAGTTATTTTGATGTTTGTTTACCTTAAAGACCTATTATCCGGAAAAATCTAGTTTACGGGCTTGCTACATATACTTCTACTTCAATCTTAAATGCTTCAGTATATAATCTTTACCTGACTTGCTCTTGTTTATTTTTTAGCCACATTAAAGGGCATTGGGCTATTTGTGTTATTTTACTACCAATCTATAGAAACAGCATGGTATGGCCCCTCTGAAGAAGCAACCATGTTGTCTCTGATTTCCATTTTTTATTTAAATTAGGATTGCTGCAGTTGATGGTGGATTCTGTCGTCTCCTCTTCTTTTGATTTTTGTACAGGCACTTTGACTTAATTATTTTTTCTTAAATTAAATTTATATCTTGAAATATTTTGCTTCCAGTTACAACATTAGTAGCTTAGTGCTTTTTTAACTTGGAATTATAGGTTCTATTTCCTTTAATTCAATATTGCTTTGCTTTTTATATTTAATACTGCTTTATATATGTGTTTTGAATCAATAAAAAATGTTTAATTAATGTTATTATTGTACTTCGTTCAGTGAAGTCGACCAACATCCAGTAGCATTGCACACATGTGCCTATCAATTGTTTCAATGGAATCAAGATATTAATTCTAACAAATTACAATGCAACAACTACGCACCATAAGAAGTATTTAAATTTTTTTTTAAAAAATAGAATTTAAAAAAAAGGAAATAGAAAAAGTTTTTTAAATGTTACCTTGGCTTTCTTCAAAAGAAATTTGAGATGCCTCATTTTTTGTTTGTCTTCTTAGCCTTTCTTCAGCCCAAATAGACTGAAGTCCTGGATTGTTACCATGTTGAGCTGTTATTGCAAAGAATTAGAGTAAAGTTACTAAAAAACTCAAAAGTAAATTACTTTCTATTTTTTTTAAAAATTTTAAGATATTAAACAAAACATACAACTAGTGGCTAACTAAAGTTACTTAAAAGGAGATGAAAATTGAAAAAGAAAAATCCTTATATAAACTGTAAGAGAAAGATATTATGATTAATTAAGGAAAAATAAGGTAAAAGATGCAACCTTTTTAAAATCATTTATTATAAATAAGAAATTTTGATTTTCATAAAAAACCTAAAAATTTATGGTGAGCATAATGTTAAAAAGTACATTGATCAAAAAACTTCCAATGAAAAAAAAAACTCCTTTGGTTATTAATTCAGGGTTGACACAGTAAAAAATGCTTTTAGTAGCCTCAAGCATGAAAAGTTGCCTGAACAGGAGCAAAAATTTATCAAAAATAGTAGCCAAATAATTAAAATTGTAGCCTAATTGTCAAATACTATGATAAGGACTGGTTGATGTCAGAAATTTTAAATTGTGATACATCGTCTGTTAGACATCGCGATTTAGCATATGTTCAGAAATTACCCATGGGAAATCAATCAAAAATAAATTAAAGGAATAAATCTATTACAAAAGAAAATATTAATTCTAAACATATTCTACTATAATATCAATATCATTGCCTAATTTTTTCAATTAAAATAACAAAGAAGTCAAAGTAAAAGCAAACCCAAGATTTATTCCATTTTTCTTAAATTAAAAATGATTTAAGATTTATTGGTTTAAAAATAATAATACTGTAACAAAATATTTTGCATACATGCATTAAAATTAAAAGAAAAAAAAACGAAAGTAGAAAACAAACCAAAGAAATGTTTACTTTAGAAAAAAAATTATTTTTTTAAAATTATTTGTTGGAAAAAAAATCATGCTTTTGAAACATCATTAGACCCTCTTTTATTCAATTATTTAAAATAATATAAAGTAGTATTAACTAATGGTTAAATTCTGTACTGAATAAATGTAAATTTTTTTTTCTTATTTATTACTATTTTCGTTTTTGAAAATAAAATTGACTAAAGATTTATTTCTTTAAAAATGACACTGACTATCTAACAAATTATAAAACAAACAAGTATTGAAAGAATTTTAATAAAATTTAAAAAAAAAAATACCTTAAGTACTAATGTTAAATTATTAAAAAGCGTCCAAACATTACTAAACTCTCTATTTAATTTTTAAAAAAAATTTTGTTTTTTAACTAACAGCCAAATTTTTTTAAAACTTTGTTTTCAGTTTCTCAAAAATAAAAGCAAATTAAATAAAGGTAAGCTTTATTTTAATTTTTTTACAAATAAAAACAACTGAACATTTATTGGTTTAAAAATAATCAAATTATTATACTTACCTACATTAAATAAATTTGAAAAAAAACTAACTTTTTATAACAAAATTAAGNTGCTGTTGGATGTTGTCCGCCATTGCTTCTGTGGTTAACGTCACGTTGTAATCCAACTGCAGTTGAGTTGGACGGCAATTGTAGTTCAAGATGAGCGTTCGATGACGTATACTATCAAACTCACAAATGGACCAATCAGAGGTTAACGCTGATTTCCAGCTGACGGCGTCCTGTTCTAAGAAACCAGGCCTTAAGGCCGAAAATAGTAGCAAATAGTCGCATTTTAGTAGCCTGTGGCAACCCTGTTAATTTGATTTGCTTTAAGGTCCTGCTCTCCTTAGGAAATTATAATCAGTTTCTCAAGAATATTCTGGGACTTTTAATATTTTTAATTATCATCAATTTATCAAACTTTTTTACTATGTTTAAAACTAAAATGTGATAAAATCAACTTTTCCCAAATTTTGAATTTTTACAAAATGTAAAATTTGGGATAAATTCAATGATTTCCCGATAAATTCAATGACCTTTCATTACTCATGATTCACTATCATAGATGTCATACAGTAAATTATGAGTTATTTTTAAACTGTTAAGATTTGTGGTTTGCTTTTCTAATATTAAAATACATCAAATTCTAAAACTGTCGTAATATTGATTATGTACCGTGACATATAAGGCAGTTGAAATTGCCTTTACATAAAGCAGAAAATTTTTCTTTCACACTGCTCTGCTGCTATATTAAAAATTATATCTAGATAAATATTCGTTTACTTCAATATGAACAAAGAACTAACAACAAAATAATCCTTCTATAGCTAGCTTCGAGTTATAGGGAATCGGTTATGCAGTCAATGTTCAATATAACCATGAATATGATTAAAAAGCTCAGAATAGGTGGTCCTGCCATTTATAGAAAATCCAGAATGTTTAACATTTATTATGCGGTAACATGAAAAGAAATAATGGTTTAAATAATTTGTTCCAGATTTTTGTTACCCACTGATATGCATGATATCAATGGAAAAATATTATCTTCCAAAGCGCAAAAATCTGGAACACCTGGGGGTCTGGAAGGATTTTCAAAGAATTAAACAAGATTTCAGGTGCAATATGGGAGTGAAAGGTTCAGTTATGACGTTTTAATGAGTGTTAAAATGACATGGTGTCAACAAACAGAACTTCATATATTGATTATCATAATAGAAGGGTTGCAGTGATAGGGGATCGCACTAAAGATTGTAAACTGCATATATACACATCTTGTTCAAAAAACAAATGAGTTTGTATTACATGAAACGTCTAAATTAGCATTTTTCAAAAACTTACATGAGATTTCCTTTTTATTTATAATATCACTTTTGCAGCAATCAGCTTCTAACTCACAGACAGACTCTCTTGGTAAGCCATTGATTTGAGAGCTAAATAAAAATAGTTGAAAAAACAAACTTTTTCTAAAAAAATATATATAAAAAAAAAATGCAAATTATAAATAAAAGTAAGAATAGTCTTATAGTAGTTTTCTACTTTAAAGCACACAAATTTTACAAAATTCATTGGAGACAATCTAGATATGAAAAGACCAGATCAAGAGACACAAGATAATGAGTCAGAAATGATACTAATTAGCCAAATGAAAGTAAAGCATGAATCACAATTAAAATTTAAACTCGCATACCAGCATGCAAATTATATACCCAGAAAAATGAGTTATTTAGCATTCAAATCTCTGTATTACAAATAAACAATTCAAATAAAAGAATAATCACTTTGATTTAGAAAGCAAAATGAAAATCAAACCTCAAATTTAATAAATAAGAACATTATTACTTGACTGTTTAAATAAAAGTTTTAATTATATTTATCATATTATGCATTATTATTCATGCTTACATCAATTATAACATTCCTGCTAAAACAGCATTAAATGTAACTATTAAATACTTAAAATTTTAAAAATGTTTATCCACAATCAGTCGACTGCATGGAAAAAAATTGGGTTTGAAGATGCTGGCTATAAGGTGAAGAAAGTCAGTTTTTCTCATCATCATGGATTTAAAAAAAATTTAGAAGAAAAATGTTCTCAATTCGCTCTTACACAAAACTGCTAAATGGTTAGAGGTTTCTAATTGTAAAAATATTTAATGATTAAATTATTTACTCTTTAATTTCCTATAAATGCATTTTATACATATTTAAATTAAATAGTGAGCAATAAAATTTTTTTTTTTTTTATAATATCAGTAAATCTGCTTATGGTCTACATTTCATCTACGGCAAAAATCGTAGAAGGGACATAAAAAAAAAGGTTATGAGATGCCAAACTTAGAAACACAATAAATACATAAACATATGAAGCACCAGCAGACTTAATTAGGCAAAAATAAAACTAAATAAGTATAAATTTTCTTCTTCTTTTCCTGTGTTATTAATAGCCAATGAAGAAAATCAGAATAATTTTGAACAACAAATTACACGGTTGTTTTTTCTTGATGTAGGTGTTTAATCAGTCCCAATTATTATGAATGGGAACATGAATATTATGAATGGGAACATTAATCGAAAGAAAAAAGAGATTGAGAATTCATGTTTTAAATGAGGACCAGCTATTAGAATAAAAGACCCAAAAATATGGAAGTCTTAGGTGTAGTGGAATCATGTATGTGTATATATATATGTGTAAATGGTGGCAGCCGGACCGAGCAGGAAAACAGACACAGGACTTTAATAAAAGCAAATTAATTTTATTTGATCATTTTCAAACGGATGACGAGCGAAAAGTAAAGTTCACTCCATCGTAGTTCTGTCTTACTGTTAGGGAAAATCTTAAAAAAAAAATCCGAAAATGTATTGATTTAGGGAAAAGAGGGAAATCTTGAAATTACTATTGGTTTATTAAATAGGTCGTGCGATTCCCACAAAGAGTAAAGGGAAAAATGTCTTACTTTTAATTAATGTATACTTGAGCCAAAAATAGATTTTAGAACAGGATGCGGCCTTTTAAAAGTAAGAGTGAGAAAGTGTTTCGATTGGAATAATAAATTAGGAATTGTTTTATAGAAAAGAAATAACATAAAAAGATTTATAGAAGCTTTTTATGTTACACACACACACATTTAAATGAAATTGTAAATATCAATATAAGTAATTTCCAATAATTACACATTTTATTAAAACTCTAAGGATAACCTTACCTGCTTAAGGAAGTAACATCCCAAACTTTATTAGCAATATCACTATCATCACTGTTTGAAATATCTTGATTCCTTAAGGGTGATGTGGCTGCAATGTATGTTTCTCCTGAAGCTCGAAATTTGAAAGATGAAGTTTTTATAAAGTTCATACCAAATAGATTATGATCAATGAAAAACTAAAATGGAAACAAAAATAGATATCACATAAGCCGTAATATTATAAAAATAATTTTTTCAAAAAAAAAAAAAAAAAAAAAAAAAAAAAAAAAAAAAAAAAAAAAAAAANAAAAAAAAAAAAGACAATTTTTTTTTATCTCAAACAATAAGCAAATATATATACACACACAGAAAAAAAAGAAAAGAAAAATGAAATTTTTTTCAGTTGCTTAAAAAAGTTTACTCAATTGCTAAAAAAGATTAATTTAATTAAGGATTTAGAACTTCATTGCCCCTATCATGTCATTGGTCAGGAAATTATGGAGTCTGAACATTCATGACCCCCATAAGATTTTATGGGAATGCATTTTTTTTAAATTCATGGATACATAAATAACGGTGCACAATTGAGTGGATTGTGCCATTTTCTTGACTTCTGATAAGTGCAATGGAATAAGAAATTATTGCATAGTATTAATTTAAAACCAATTTAATTAAACTCTACATAGACAAGATAAAATATGTAACTATAAACTAAGTACTTTTGACATTCTGTTACAATCTAACAAGTTCTGTTATAATCAATGATATATGAACACAAACTCTTACATATTCACTAAAAAAGAAAAGAAAAAAAAACCTTATCCGAGAGGTGGGATAACAATTAACTAACATCTTTATTATCCTTTCTTAATTTTTAAATTGCTATACAATTCACTCAACACTAGGTAATACAAATTGTTCAATTGTAACAATCATTTTTCAGGATTGGACTTGTTCCTTACTCCTAGCACCCCATATAAAAATATTAAGTGTACAAAAGAAAGATAAAATGCATAAAATGTTTGTGGGTTATAAAAACAAATCGAGCTGTACTTCATAGTCTTAGTTGGCAGCAATTGCTGTGGCACCAATTTCAAAGCAAACACACTCCATTTTTAATGATGACCGAAATTGAGGAAGACAATAAAGCATTTGCGATATTTGGGCGTTTTATAGGATACTTTATAAAAATTATTTAATAACATATAAGGTGACATTAACACCAAAAAGTAATATATTTTTTTTAACCATGCTTCTTCAACCATTTTCTTTTACTCATTTTAAAAACTATTGAGCGAGATCAACATTAAAATATACTAGAAGTTTTGAAACAATGCAATTTATTATCTTTGAAAAATAATTACAATTAAATTATAGAAGATAATAGATAGAATAATATAATATTAATTATAGGATGTATGGAAAATAATTTCTATAATTTTAAATTCAAAATAATTCAATCATAATTCTAATTTTAGAAATCTAATATTTTTCATGAAAAAATTGTTTTATAAACAAAAACAGTCATTTTATCACTGGTGAAATGTCCTGTGTATAATTTAATTTCGTAATTAATTCTGAAACTCTAAATAAAGGACATTTCTTAAATGGAGTATCAAAAGCATAAGTACAATATAATAACAGTTTTTAACCTGTATACTATTAAATATTACAAATAAAAAATATGTAATTTATCTTTTTAATAATAGTATTTGAAAACAACAATTTCTAAACACAAATAAAGTAAGAGCAAAAACTAACCTGCAAAATAAAAGGAATGTGGGCTTCATGTGGCTGTATAAATTTGTTCAGTACTTTACAATTTGTTAAGTTATTTGCAGTTCTGAAAAAAAAAAATATGATCACATTGATATCAACTAATTGAATTAAGAAAAGATTTATTGGAAGATAAATATATATTACCTCATTACATCAATAGGATTATAAAAATAAATTTTGAGGAAATCCTCCTTCTCTTCATGGTAACCGTATAAACATCTAAAATTAAAAATAATTTACAATACATTTTAATATCAGTCAAAATCAAAAAAATCATATAGAGTAAATTAATAAATTCAATTTATCCGGAGTTCGCTCCTAAATTATAGTGTGATCAAGGCTAAAATGCTAATGATAAATACTTTTTTTGATACAAATTTGGTTACTTTATTCTATTTATGACATTCAAATTTTTTTGGGGTCATTTTTTCATATTTTAGATTATGCTTCTCTTTTATTAATAATTTTTTTTTTATGAATTTTGAATGATGTTTTTCATTTTAAGAGCATTTTGCTTATGAATAAAATTATTTTTCTTCATAAATCAATGTAAATATTTCATTGAATCTTGTTATTTTAGATTTTCTCTAATAACAAATGTTAATGATATAGGAATTTGCTCTTTGATAAGAGAAAATCTCTTAATTTTAAGACTATCAAAAACATATGATAATACAATAAATTTTGATGTTTTTGAAGATAGAAACTAAAAACTAATAAATTCATATATTTCTTTATCAAGTATTTATTGACATTTCATTTTACTCATAAATTACATATTTATTTTAATTATTACCTTACTTCGTATTAAATGTACGATTCAATTACAAGTTTTTATATACAAGCCTTTTATATGATTTCTTTTTGAAAAAAAAAATAAATAAATAAAATAAAATGACATATATTTTTAAAAATTTTAAGGGCATTATTATTTATTTAAGAGTTATTTTTTGCAGTTTGTAGAGGCTATTTTTGCAATTTTTAAGGGCATCTTTTCAGCATTTTCAGATCATCAGCCTTGACTGATGTTATACAAGATTTTGAATATGCTTTTCATACATTCATTTCGAAAAGTTCTAAACCTGAGTGGCAACATAGTAACTTAAAGAACAATCATTTCAAAATGAAAGTTGTGAAGATTTTCACGTTAATAATTTCACAGTTAAAAACAACTGAAGAACGTTCAGATTTACTCACAGACGTTGGGTAACTTCTATATTATATACATGGTGAGGATTCGAAGCTGTTTTTCTTTCTTCAACATTGAGAGCTTTATCAATTTCTAAAGCTAATTTTTGGGTATATTCACGGGAGCTCTTAACATCAATACCAGGAAAGACATCTTTACAGCGAACACTAAGGTATGGAAAAACACCATGTATATGTAGGCATCCTTTCTGACCTGAAAAAATAGTAAAAAAAAAATAAAAAAAAAAAGATTAAAAGGGATTTATAAACTTTCAAGAGCACACTAAAATATACATTTTAAGTTATCATAGTTTTCTATTTTACTTTCAAAAAGGCTTGAAACCTTGGCTTCAAAAAGGTTTTAGACCTTGAAATTTCATTTCAAATATCTTATAAAAAATTTCTATCCATTAACATCTATGGTTCTTTTTTACCTTTAAAACCAAGATCATGTTAAGCAGAAAAAAGGCAGTAGGCAGCATCAGAAGACAGTGTGGGGGCAATGAGTCGGATAAGGTCAAAAATATAAACAAATAGTATTTTTTATTAAAATTTAAAGAACATCTCCATTCTAACAATTAAGTATTAAATTTCTTTTTAAAAAATAAGTGGGAGAATTTTTGAAAAATTATATTGTTATTAACCAAAGATACAATCAGTGACTTCTTATTAGATTAAAATCTAAAAATCTTAAAACTAAAATATCAAGCATTTCAACCTTAACTTAGGATAGAGACAATAAGCATCATAATTTTAAAAATTATAAAGTATAAAAGTTTTGCAACAATAAATGTTTGACCAATGATATGAAGTTTTACAGGTTCTAATTTACAAGATTCTAAAAAAGTTACTGATTCTGATGTTATTTATTCAGATATACTTTTGTAAATTTTTTTTAAGGATAAATAGAAAGACAAATTGAGTTTATTTTTAAGCACATACATTTTCAAATACTGCTTCTTTTTTTCTTTTAAAATCAATAAAAGTATGATGCTTTCTGATTTGTAATACAGTAGGGAACCGATTATCCGGATCGATCGGGACCATCGCTATTCCGGATAACTGATTTTTCCGGTTTTCTGAATCGCTACAAAAAGCCGTTTTTTTTATTGTTAAACCCAACTAAAAAAATTTTTTTGGAAATAATCTTAAAAAGAAGGAAAAACGATGAAGTAATACACTAATGATTATTTCCAAAATGATGGTAAGGTAAAAATTTTTCAAAAAAGAAAGAAAAATCCTAAAATCTTATGAGGAAAAAAATTTTTTTTTTAAAAAAATGGCGGCGGGAAAATTCATCGAACTTCGTTCCGGTTTTTTGGTTTTCCGGTTTTCTGATTTCCGGATAACGGGTTCTGTACTGTATATTTTAATATTTTTTATGGAAATTCTTTTGATTACAATTTAACTTGACACACCTAGCAACTAAATTGGGTCCTTTTTTTAATAGATTTAATTCAATCTCTATTCTAAAGGCTAAATTGTAACTTCCTTTGTAAACTTCTCTTTAAAAAAAATTAAACTTCAGAGTAGTATACTGTGCAGGATTTCAAAACTGATAATTTTTCAAGCCAAAACTTACTTTACTGCAAAAAAATTTTTAAAGGAAAAATAAATATAAAATCATAAACAAACATGATAGTAAATATTGGACCCATAAATACTTTAATTAATCAATAGAATTAAAAATTTTAATTAATCAATAAATATGCTTTCCTATAATATTCCACTGTTTATTGATTTGCACTTTCATGAAAAATAAAAAATGATGGATTAATAAAAAGAAGTATTAATATTTTATGTATGTTCCAAAAAATCATAATTTTTAAAATCTAAAAAAAATATATACATATATATAAATAATTATTCTACTACTAAAGTTTTCATTCAATATTAATAATGACTTAATCAATTTGACTTAAGAAATAAGTCTCCTTCTTTTTTTCTCTACAAAATGTTTAAAATTAATAAGAGACAAGATCATATAAAAAATATACTAGGGTTTTAATAAAAAAAATTCCTTAAAAAAAAAATTTACAAAGCGCTTTAAAATAAACTATGCTTGAAAGATAAAGTGATTTTGCAATATACATTACTTGTGCAATCTAATTATGAAATGTAATTATTTGAAGAGAAATTAAAAATATATTACTAAATCATTAGTAACAAATTTCACTATATGTTAAATAGTTAAAGTACATCAATCAATTCATAACAAACATTAAATATTATATCAAGCTAGACACTTTATACACTAAACTTTTCAAATTTTAACGATGAAAAAAATTTCACTCATGATATAAATTCTATTATTTATGCTGATAACGGGCACTTTTTTTAAAAATTTTAAACTAAAAGAAATTGGTTTTTGAGAGGTAGAGTAACCATTGCAAGAAGCAACTGTACAGAAACGTCTCTATTATTCCAATTTAGGAGTCCACGTTAAAAAATAAATAAGAACAAAATGGGAATATAAATTTTGCGACTGCAAAAATCTGAATAGCAAACATCGTATTCTTTAACAAGAAAGCACTGATACAAGTTATAATGCATATATAATTATCACCACTTAAATTATCATTTTAGATTACTGATAACTTACAGTTCTATTAATAAAATAAAGAGTCATTTTTTTCTACAAAGTAGTTTTTAGAACTTAATAGTAAATAATAGGAGAAAAGGTCAAGGTCATATAAAAAAATATAATATGGCTTTAATTTTTCTGCAAACAAAATAAATTTTTAATTTTAAAGATTTAAATAAATATTTTCCTTTAATAGAACTTAACGAAGTACTTTGTTAAAACAAACATATGCTTCAGAGATTAAGTGATTTCGCAATATACATTACTTGAGCAATCAAACCATAAAATTTAATTATTTGAAGATAGTTTAAAAATATGCATACATTACTGAATCATTAGTTACAAATTTCATTATGTGACACTAAATATAGTAAAAATATTTTAATCATTTCATAACAAATATTAAATATGTCATCAAGCTAGACACTTTTTAAACACTAAATTTAAAATTTTAACTAAGAATAAAATTTTACTAAAAATATAAATTCTATCAATTAGGCTGATATTGGACATATTTTTTAAAAATTTTAAACTAAAAAAATTGGTTTATGTGCGGTAGAGTCATCATTGTTAGACTTAACTGTACAGGGTTGTCTCCATTACGACAGTTTAGGAGTCCATGTTTAAAAAATAAATAAAAAACAATTAAATATATAGTTTTAATATTATACCTGCAGGAGTATTGCCCACCACTCGAATAACGGGAACTTTATAAATTTCGCTACCGCGAAAATCTGAATAGCAAACATCGTATTCTTTAACAGGAGAGCACTGGTACGAGTCAACTGTCAAAATACGGAGAGATAGCATCCTAATGAATGCCTAAAAATAACAATAACATAACATTAATAACATATTATAAAAACAATAACTTTTATAATAGGTAACAAAGACCTTTGATTATAGTTTACAGAAGCGAGTATTTTGGATATTACGAAAGAATTCAGTTAGCCTATATACAAATAAAAAAAAAGATAAGTATAATGACTTATTTACTCGATCATACGGTGTCCCCAGGAAGAAATTCTTCAATCATTGGAATCCGTTGGGAATAATTTAAAATAAATATATATATGCGCATAATGATTCAAAAGAAAAATAATCAGAAATTTTAAATCATCGAAGTAATAGTATTCTTCTGAGAATTAGCTATGTATAAAAAATCTAGTAAACACATAACTACAGCTTAGCATTACGCACTGCGAAGGAGAGTTGAGTTGTTCAAAATAGCATTTACCTGCAATACTTGACCTATCAACTCATTGGAGTCCTACTTTTGAGAAAACTTATTTTATCTTCTCAATTTATAAAATTTTGGGGAATGTATGAATGTTTATTAAGCAACACGTTGCTCTTACCAAATTTTCATCAAGTATTGACAACATTTGATGAGATTTTTTAAAATATATATATATTTTTATTTATAACTCATAACTGTGTGCTAGATAATAGAATGAAGTTAAAAGGACTATGGATGTTGGCTGTTGGTTGCTGAAAACTACGTCTGCTAATTTATTAAAAAAATGTTAGATTCATTTTATTTTTCTTTAAAATATATCTTTATAGATAAATTAATATATTTAATAAAAATATATATGCTAATTCATGTAGAAAATATATTTCATTTGTATATACTTTTTTGTAGCTGAAAGAGCAGAATGGTTTTGTTTTCATTTTTCTCTCTTTCATTTAAAAATATGAAATTTATATTATACTCGCATCTTAAAATGCTTTTGATTATTTAAATGCATATCATCTTTTATTACTGCTTCTATTTTTTGTAATATTTTATTTAGCAAAGAAGTCTGCTAATGTGTATCTCTATTTTATTGAAGACTTATTTGCAAATATGTATGTTTAATTAACTGGATTCTTAGTACTATTGGTTTACTCATACAAATTCTAATAATGTAATATTATAAACTTTTTCTAAATTTAAATTGTACTAAAAAATCTTTATTACTAAACTAAGTATAAAACCATAAAGTAAATTTAACTGCTTTAATTTTATTAAAATACTAGTTTATTAACAGCTGTATTAAATTAAGCTAATGATTTTTCTCAATTATTACTACTAGGTGTGATTGGCAAAGCTAAATTACCATTTCAGGAAGCTTTTGAGTTGTAAATTAACATAAAAAGGGGAGATTCTTTAATTTTTCAGTAAATAATTTTTCACTGATTCTTTAAAATGTGAGCTCTTTGCAATTAGCTTATAACATTATAACTAGGTCTTTATTATGTATTTAAATAAAATAAATTTTTTGTTTGAAATTTTTTCTAATTTTAATACAGAAATATAAAATTCAATTTAATGTTTACATCAACTTTTAAATTTTCCTGATATTAATTTCTTTATTCCTGATAAAATGTTTTGTTTTTAGGTGTTAACCCAGTGTGGGGATTGCTTTATTGTGATGGTGCATCTGTTTTTCTTCTGCCGGTATCGTGTGTGGATGACCAAAGTTACCTTCTACCTAAAGTTTTAAAATTAGAAAATGTAGGGTGAGGAAATTGTTTTTACTAATTTTACAAGGTTATTTTGGCTCTAAGTAAGCACTGGAATTTCAAAAATTTTAAATTCGAAGCTTTAGAAATTCTCTATCTAGAACTCTTAATTAGTATATTGAATATCTTGTTTGTGTATTGAATAAACATAACCACCATTAATTTCTACTTCTGCATAGAATTAAACGGAACTGTATCAAATGCCATCGTTTATATGTTTTACTCTAATAAACTGGTAAGGGTAATTTTTTCTTCAAAAACTTGAAACATGGCAAAAAGGCATTTAATTTTATGTCTTTCTTAAAATTAAAATGAACTGCATAAAATACCAGTTTTAAAGCTTACCTTTTAGCTACAAAGTATTAATTATGAGGTATTTTTTATTCTTTTCTTTATAATTTGTAACATAGCATAAAGACTACTAATTAGTAATGCTGCATAAAATTAAGTTGCATCCTGATTTAGAAACTAACTATAAAACCAACCTTAAATTGTTTTTTACTTATCTATTATTACCCCCCTCCCTTTCATTTATGATTTGCAACAAAATAGAAAGACAGTTTCTAACCCTTTGTACAATTAAAAGGAAGTACTATTGAGATAAAGCAGGCAAATCTTTATTTTACTTTTTAGCATGGCTTGCAACTATCACTCCTTATTACTATACTACAACTTTTAAGATGCCTTAATTTTTTTTCCTTATTAAATTCTTCATTTCTAAACTGCTAACAATTTAAATTAGATAGAATTATCAAATGATATTTAATTATTAAAAATATTTGAAATGGTTAAGAAATAATTTTTATTTCTAAGTGTAAATATAATGCTTTGTTTGTTACTAAACAACATTTACCATATCTTTTTTCTCTATATCATTAATTTCCATTCAATCCACATAGTAAAATCGATTTCTTACTCAGAAAAACCAGTTTAAGCTTAAAATTGGAAGGAACCAATGAGGTACACTGTAAGGTAATTCGGTTAATTTAACTTCTTGATTTCTAAGTAAAAATTTATTTTAGGGAATAAAATGTTCTTAGTTTTATAATATAGAGTGTATGATTTTTCTTCAGATGAAGACTAAACTTAATAAACAAGCGTTCTTTTTAGAAATTTTAAATTTATNCGCTGCTTGTGCCCAACGATAAAATATTTCAGTTTTCCATTTCCCATAAAATGTTAAGCAAATACATACATAAGTACGCTAGCTCAGTAAAGGTAAAGTTCTTGATAGATTTCTAGATTTAACTGAAGAAATAAAAAATTATCTTGCTGCCAAAAATTTTTAGATCTCAGAGATCTTCTTTGGCTAACAGATTTGTCTTTCATAACGGAAAAATTAAATAATTAAAACTTGGAGCTGAAGGGAATAGACAAACATATAGCAAGAATGATAAGGGCTATAAACTCGTTCAGAGTTTTTGTGGATATCACATTTGAAAATGAAGTCTCTTGGGCATTTTCCATACATGATCAATTTGAAAAGCGCTTTCAACAGTTTAATATCATCGAGATATTTTATCATATATTTTGTAAATCCTTTTACCAACCAAATAAACGTAACCGTAATAGCAACACACATTTCAGAATTTCTTCAAGTAAGGCGAGGAGTGGAGATAGAAATTTTGGATCTTCAGAATGACATTATCCTCAAAACTATTATATCAGATGAGAAATTCTGGAATATAGTTGTCAGAGATGAATTTCATTCTTAAAAAGAGCAGCATATAAAATAAAGTCGCTTTTTGGTTCCACATACTTGTGTGAATCACTGCTTTCGACAATAAATATCATAAAATCAAACTATAGATCCCGACTTACAGATGAACACCTTGATGATTGCTTGCGAGCAGGAATTTCACCATATTCTCCCAATTATGAAGAGTTGGCCAGTGAAATGCAATGCTAAAGACCACATTGACTGTATTTTATATACTTTATAAATAATTTTTATGCTTCGTATGGTTTGAAAAAGCAATTTAGTAATCATTTATTTTACACAAGAATACTAATACTAATTAAATTCCTAAGTTAAATTAATTTTTAAAATAAATTTTTTTGAGCATTATATGTAGTGTGTATTATTACCTACGTCTATCAACTATAAATTTATCTTAAAAAAATAAATGGTGCCCGCCATTCGACCGATATTCTGATATTTGCTCTTAGGTACAAAAAGGTTGGGAACCCCTGATATAGAGTGTATGATTTTTCTTCAGATGAAGACTAAACTTAATAAACAAGCGTTCTTTTTAGAAATTTTAAATTTATTTTTGAATCAGATTTATTTATGTGATATGATAGTTTGAAAAAAACAGCGCAATAAAGACTAAAACTGAATTCATTTTACCATTTTGACTTGAAGTTTATATTATCTGTAAATTTTAATCTCATAAAGATGCAATAAGTAAAATTTTAAAACTCCTATGATTTCTGTGATTTTTTTCTTTTATAATACATATATTAAAATTTTAATCTTAAATTCAATATTATGCTGTTTTAGCCTTATACATGACATAAGCTGCAGCCCTTGTTACCAGAATTGTTATTATGTAGCTGTTATTAGCTCATCAGAAGCAGGTTTAAAAGTTTCTGTTTGGAAAGCTGTAGAAGAAGAAATTAATGAACCTTTTAAAATATCCAATGAAGCCTATATCTGTGGAATCCCTTTACCTCAAGGTCAAGGTAAATTGTGTTACTTTTATTGTTCTATTTACTTAAGCTAATAAAATATAATGATTAAATAAATCAAATCTTTAAAATATTATTAAAATCAAATTATTGGCCAGATTAGTGTTTTATGAAGTGTTCTTCAAATATCTTGCCATGAGCTTTGAGATTTTCCAATAAAATGTATCAAATATATGTGTGCATTTTTCTTAAACTTTTTTTTCCAGATGAAAAGCTCTACTGACTTTACAAGTATAGAATTTTTATTTCTTCCTTAAACTATTCAACGATCAATTTGTTATTTTTTATAAATATCGTAATATTTTGAAAAGGAAACAAATAGTGTAGCTGTTTATTTTACTATTAATTTATCATTTTAAATTAACTATGCTAATTACACTTTATTTAAACTTATCCTAAACTAAGTAAATGGCCGTATCAATTTGGGAAAATTGTATTTTAAGTATGGTTTTAAAGTTATGAGAAATATATCTCTTATGTTAAAAAAAAATATATATTTATACTCTTACTGGGAGATCAAGTGATAAATATCTAGGGCAGATATTAAAATTATTTAAAGATTAATACTTTTTAAAATAGTATTACTAGCTTCAATGAAAAAAAATTGTTTAAAAAATTAATTTCAATTGCTGATGCATATAAACATTAAATTAAATAGTGACATATATGTTGCATTGAAATAATTTCTATGTATTAATTTTATGTATGTGATATAATATCAATGATGTTAATTGTATCTTGTGCCATAAAACTTCTACATTCAATCTAATCCAATCAATGATGTTAACCGTTTGGGAGTCAATCAATTCTATTTATATTCTGTTGCTATTTGTAACAATGCATTTTACCTTTTCTCTCTTGTCGCTGTTGGAAACCAATTGATCAATTGATGCACAATTGAAGATAAGCTAAGTTAAATTACCTTAAACATCATCAGCTTGGATATTTTTATTCCATTGATATTTATACACATTCTGCAGTTAAGATGATTGTAATCTCTGTTGTAAACATAGTAAAACATAATTAGATTTAGTTATCACGCTGTTGTGATAATCAATTTAGGCAGACATAATAACTTAATAAAGCTTTAATTAGCAAAATTAGGCTAGCCGCTGAGGACTACATACTTATAAACATAAATAGTAAAACAATTGAAAATCAAGCACAGTTACAGTTAAAACAAGATGTTAATAAATATCACCACACACGCTTTGGAATTTTTTTAGTTCAATTGATCTGCAAACATTTTCAGAACTTATAAATAGTACACATAAGAAAAACTGTTTGGTATTGCTTTTACAAATTAGATTCTTTTAACCCTTTTATATGAGATGAGATAAATGCTAGATGGATAAGAGCGAAGAACTTATCTGACTTTTTATTGGAACTAAAATTTACAAAATATTGAAAATAGAATATTTGTTCTTCCTAAAATCTTTTACAACCTAATGATGATTTGACTTTTCCTTTTATTTATTTGTATAATTAAATAATTTTTTTTTATATATTTAAAAAAGTTTCCTTAGAAATTTTTTATAATTTTTAGGTCTCTCTTGGCACCCTCTTAGCAATGTCCTTTGTATCGTCTGCCAAAATGAAGCCTTTATATTTAATAATGACTCGAAAACGGGTTCGCTTGAAAAAATAAAAAGTTTTTCTGGAACTGAAAGGTAAATAGCTAATTCTGATTTTATTGCAAATTAATTAAATTATTTTATGGTCATATACATTGCATACCTATATTTGAATACTGTTTTTTAAGTTAATCCTTTTTGTTTAGATTTACGTCATGTTGCTGGAACTATTCTGGTTCTCTGTTAATTTTTGCCACTCATTCAAAACTTTTGGTGAGCTTTTACTTGGAATTTCCTTTGTAAATATTTGTGGGATGTAACCTGATGTGATGTAAAATACTTACCTATTTATCGTCCTTGGAAAGTTTAATTTTAATGTAGCTCTGAGCAATACAAATATTATCCTCCAATGGATTCACAATTTCTGATAGATACTTAACAATTGTTGAAATAAAAATATATAATAAAATAAGATAAAAAATGTAACAAAAGGAAAAAAATTTTTAAAAGAAAATAAGAAAAATTATTATAAGAATTAAAATTTTTAAAAATTTAAAAAAATTAAAAATTTTTAAAATTTCTAAAAAATTCGAAAATAAAACAACTGAAAATATAATATTGCCTTTAGTCTTGTCTTATTCGTAAAATAGGGCTTTCTAATATTGCATTATATAACCAAAGCAATTTCAAGCCAAATCATTTTTAATTTTTTTGCACAAAATTCTCTTTTCTTTAATTCTTTAATGTGTGTTTATATCTATATTTGTATTTTTGTGATCAATGTGATTTTATGTAAAAATTATGTGATCACTAAGATGGCAAAATCATACGGCCTCTAATTCAAGGGCAAAAGAATATAAATTTTATGAGAATCTGATAGAATTTGCTATAGCTCACCAGAGCAGAATCTTAAGAATTTTATGCAATTCTTAATTTTATGCAAAACATTTTCACTTTTGTAAAAATGTTTTAGCTTGTTAAGCAATTAGTATCTTACTTTTCTTATATATAATTACAGTTCTATCAAAGAAAAATTTAGTTGTGATCCAGTGTTTATTTTTTCTTTTTAGTTTTGCAAAAGCTTGCTCATACTTTTCTCACACTCGAGATGAACACATTTTACAATTTTTATTTTTGTGTTAAGTGTTTATTATAATGTTATGAACTTGGACTGTTTTATTTGAATAGAGGTCTTGAACAAAATACCTTATTTTGGCTATTTTTTATGTTGAAATTAAAGCTTCAAATACTAATTTGTCTATTAATATGCAATATCTGATGCCTTAGTGGTCTTTCTTTTTTTCTGGCACTTAAGTTTAATACTTTGAATATGTAAGGTTAAAGTTTGGTGGGCTATAGCAGATTCTATTCCATATGTCATTGAACTTTGCAGTCTGTCAATGAACCTCTGAAGTATGAATCAAATCCCTGTCAGTGTTCTATTTACCCATATATTAAACTAGTCCTGACTGTAATAAAAGAAAAAAAAATTGCTCTCATATACTAAGATTTTAGATGATAAATTTGAATCTCTTAATATGACATTGAAAAACTTTTCCAAAAGAGACAATATAGGGCAAATAACTTTACTTACAATATTATGACAGATTTTTTTACAACATACTGTACTGGTACAAATTTAAGAACTTTACAGCTCACATTCTTTCTTTTTTTTAAATCTTCATTCTTTTTGTACATCTCAACATTTTTTCCATATTTTTGCATTCTAACATTTTCTAGTTTAAGTAAAGTCTTTTCACTCTAAATATAGATTATTTAGAATGAACCCCATTTTTGTAAATTATATTTGTATCTTTTTAGAATGGTTTAAATTTTTTCCTTTTAGCCTTTTCCTTAAAATTTTTTAATCTATGCAGAAAATAATATACGGTGATAAAAAATCTAATTAACTTTTAAAAACTCAATAATTAAACTTCAGTCAGAACTAATATTTTATTTTCATGGTTTAAATAGAACAGCTATTAAATTCTAGGTGCAAACTATTATTAAGTTGTAAACTCATCACAAAACCTTTTTTTTCTAGTTGATCATATATTTTTCTGCTAGATTAAGATTATTTACATTCAAAATAAAAAAGGAGATAATGTTGTAATGATGGAAAGGTCTGAAATGTGTCCTTTCTTATTTTATTACGTTCATTGACCATCCTTTATCAGATTTAAATTTTTTATTTTATTTTATATTGCTATGCCTGATTTACTTTTTTTGCTATAATGAAATATATAGCCTCTTTGATCCAAAGATTTTTCCATGCATAACTATTATTTTTATCATTTAATTTGCTTGATAATGATAGAAAAAAATTACATGTTAAAATATTAATTTGTGGCTAAAAATTTAAAGTTAACAAATTAAATAGATCCTAACAAATAACAATTTAAATAAGCTTCTCAGGAAATTTTGTTCAGAGTTATTTTAAATTTTGGCATACATAGCAATTGAGTTTAGAATGACATGGTATTGTGTGTCCCATATGATTCAACTATTAAGCTAAATAATAAAGAAAAAATTATTGTAGGAAGAATTATTTTTTTTTATTGCTATAGTTTCTAAAGAGTAAAGAGTCTAAAGTTTATAGCCTAAAGTTTCTAAAGAGGAATCAAGATTTAAAATATTGTGCAAGAATTTTTAAATCTCAGTCTTCAGACTGAACTATCTGGCCACATTTTTCCAATTGCACATTTTCTTTGCTTTTAAGGTGTGAAAACATTGGAACAAATATATCTGTTGATTTAAAAAAAAGCAATATTTTTTTAACCTTATTTTGTAGCTTAATAGCTGCATTAATATCCTAAAATAACTATATAAATTAAGTTTTAACATAGGAAATTCTAATCATTTGGTGAAAAGGTATAAATTTTATTTCTTGTGTTTTACACATTGGAACTTTATCAAATGTGACATTTATAATTTGATGATGCAATTACGTTGTTGTATTGTGTAACTAGATAATTTTTATTTTTTAAACTTAATTTTTAGATGTGAACATGACTATCTGTGTAACAAAAGTTCGTTTTTGTTACACTATCTGTTCTTTTTAACTGCTGTCTGAATATTTTTTTATTGATAACTTTAAAACTGAAAACATGGTGCATATAATTTTTCTATCCTTGATTTTATCCCTCTCTCTCTAAAATTTATTTTTACCCAAAACTTAATTGATTGTAATTAGCTAATTATTTGTAATCTCAGGATAACTCAATGGTCATCTGTGACTAATCATTCAACTCATAGATTCTGAATTTAAGAACACACTTATTTTTATATTTCCTTTTTTTTGTGACTAACTATTGTAGCTTAATTTTCTCCTAAATTTTTTTTTATATGTAGGGGTATTTGCATTCATTGTAGTTTTAATGTGTTATGATGATGTCAGGAATTCCAAAAACTTGCAGATAGTCTATTAGAAATTTTTTTAGTTATCTAGGTTAAATGTATGAAGACGTAAATTTAGACTACAATACAAATATCATATTTTATTCTGTATTTCACTAATACAATGGAAAATATTTTCTGTAACCATTGAAAAGTTTTCTGGAAGCCACAAGAGACATACATATAAACATTCCTGTGATTTAATATGATTTCCAAAAATGTAGTTTCACAGAAAATTTTTTGAAATTTACAAGCTGTGAATCCTGTTGTAAAATGATTAGATTCTTATAGTCATAAAGGTTTTACATTTCGCCAAAACTATTTTTTCTAATAAATTTAATCCTGTATGGCTCAGTTAATGAGTAAACTGTAATTCAGTAACACAAGGTAGAAACTGTATATCGTGTCTTATTTTTTCATGATTTCATTATTATACTGCTAATTTGAATTTTTAACTATCATTAATTATTTGTATTTCCCTAATACAATAAAAAAAACCTTTTGTGTAGTTATTATTATAAGGTTTTCCTTAAGAGGCCTCAACCTGCTACATCTTGGATTTTAGGTTAAATTTTTGATTTTTATTTTCTTTGTGTTTTTTTTCTTCTTTTTTTTTTCATTTAACAAACTTTTGATGATATAGTATTATTTGGCAGCTCAATATCTTTCGTAAAAAACTGGAAAATAAAAGGGTTACTTTACTAGATTAGAAAAAGAATAATAGAGCTTGATAATTTTTTCAACTTCAATGAAATTTTCCTCAAAATTTTAAAGCAATAAAAATCTGTGATTTGTTGTTTTGAATCAATAATTTAAAATTTCACATTTTTCAGTTTTTAGATTTTTGAAAATTGAATTTTATTACAGTTTATACAGATAAAAACTGATTTGGATGGTTTTTACAATGTGTAAATTGCACAAAAGCAAAAATATTTATCAAAAATTAAAAAAACGCAAATGTGTACTTTTTAAGTACCGTTCAAAAACTACTCGTTGCAAAACTATATTGGTATCATTTAAAAAAGGAAAATTTAAATTACCGCTCACTTTATATTTTAAGTTCTGATTATATGTCGGCCTTTTATTTTACATGTCTCAAAAGATACTGCTGAATAAAGTGTAAGTCTACCATCAGTTTATTTGGGAAAATTAAATAAGGTGGATTAAAAGTGTAACTAGAATTTTCCCTCCCTGTCTTAACACCTTTCACTGTTGAATTGGGACGAGTCTGGCCTTTTAAGCCGTACGAGTTTATATAAAAACCAAGCCTCAATCACAAAATTTTTACATGCTTGATCAGGCATATTAGTCTACAAAATTAGATGGTCAAATGAAACATCTATATTGACTGCATGCGAATGGAAGTGTGCAAATATACCTATTATTCGGCTGCTGAAAAACGAAATTAGCAACATATCTGCATCAACATCTTTATTTTAAGTAAAAATCAAAAGTATGAAGTATTATAAACAAAGAAATATTTTAACAGGAAATTATTAAACAGTTATGAAGTAAATGCAGAATATTATTATTAAACAAAGTAATATTAAAATTAATAAGCACTATCAGGGAAGGCATACCCTTCTACATTTTACTTTAAAATGTTATTATAAACTTTTATGTAATTTAATCAAATAAATCAAATAAAGTATCGTAATCAAATAAAGTATCGTTGCTTGAAATTTATAATAATTCTGTTGGAAAACTATTTTTAGAGATCGTATTAGCATTACACCATCAAAACTGTGATAGATGATACTGTCTTCATAAAAATTACTATGCATATTCTGTGGCCAAATACCTTTAAAATTCTGTTGTAATTTGATGATCTTATTGCAGAATGAGGAACACTTATAATTATGAATATATATCCTGAAACTTTAATTGCTGTACCTATTAGTACAAATATGTAAATATTTATGTACCATCATCTTGTGAATTTTGGCACTTCAGTATGTATTTCAGTTTAAAAATTTGTGTTTATTTAAGTTTCCAAGTGTCTAATGCAAAAAAAAATCTGCTTGCAAAAAAAGAAAACAATTGCCTGTTTTTTATGTTTAAATATAGTGCATACAGTTTTATGATTTATTAGCTATTCAGCTCTAAAATAATAAGTTTTATTTAATTTTTTTCTTCTGCTTACTGTCAGATATTTCTCAACTATATAATATGATTTTTATATTATCGTGAGAAACTTGAAATCACAATTCGCACTGTTTCTATGTCTGTCTCAATGCTGTAAGTTTTCTATCTTGTTTTGATCTTACGTTTTTAATTCTTAATGTGTCTTGATCCACTTTTCTTGGAGAACTTGAACTACAATATCTTTAAAAGATAAATGTAGAGGTAGGAGTATTTCAATATGAGCAATTTATTATCACTTGCTAATTATCAGTAAAATTTTAATGTATTTTAAAAAACTTAATACTAACTCTTTTGAAAAGAAAATTTCCTGTAGTCATTATATATGTTTTCTTTTAAAAATTAGATTTTTTTTTAGTTTTTTCTTCTTAATTTTAATTTTCTTAGAACTTTAATGCATGATTTATCAACCTTAGAACATAAAAGTGTAAATATATTCTCTCTTTTAAAATTTCCCAAGTTTTAAACATTACTATAAGTGTTTTTCTTACATTTCCAAAGTATAAAGTTCAAAATATTATTAAAAAATAAATTATATTGTGAAATTATACTAATAACATAGCAAGCCTTTTTCAGAATTTTTATGCATGTGTAGTGCAAAATCTAACCTGTTTTATAAACTTATTTTAACTTTAAAAACTTAATCATTATTTTTTGCTTTTTATACCTTAAACTTTTATGTTTAATATTTTTCTCATGCATACAACAAGGTTTAAATACAGCAATATATAAAAAGCATTATTTTCAAAAGTGTCTGTAACTATTAAGGAAGCATTTTGAAATAATTTTCCATTTAATATTTGTAGGGTGTTATAAAATTGAGATTAATTCTTATTTTCAAATTCTATTCTACAGTGTGTCTCTACAAAAACATAAAATTTGAATTCCAATAAAAATAGGTAAATAAAATAAAATTTTTGTACAAGGCACATAGCTCAACGAATACCACTATCTTTCTCTCCAAACTAAATTGTGGGAGTGTATTGCTGGTACTTTGCCTTTACTCTCTTCAGATCATTATGAAGGATAATCTTTGACTATTGCCAAGAACTAAGATGTTGATAACTTAAAAATTCTGTAAAAAAAATGCTTTTAAAATGTACAAATAGAGCCTCAATAAAATCATCAAAAATACATAATGGCCTTAAAGATTTTCTAAATTTTTTTATTTTACTTTCTTTAAAACTTGTCTTAATACATTTAAAAAAATAAGGTAATTATCAAAATAAATATGCAATTTATATATAAAATTAAATGTACATAAACATTTGATAAAGATAAATGAAAATTTTCAAGAAGTGAAATTATAAAATTATCTTCATAAATAAAAATCTCCTGCATATTGTGTCACCCAACCATTGCTGACCCCCATGACTCTGACCCTATGGCTCTTACCCCCATTTTTATGTCTGTAAAACATCAGAATGGCATTGCATTATCAAATGTTTTTTTGATATTCTTAAAATTTAAAAATTTCTACTGTCCAAAAAATAATTCTTGCATCTTGAAAAAATTTGGGTTCAACATAAATACTTGTTATTGTTTGATGTTTAAAATAACAAAATGTAATGAAAAATTTATACTAATTCGTAAAGGAAAAAAAGTAATTTATTAGCTGAATGCTCTCAAAATGAAAAATAATATTTAATACATATTCCTAAAAAACAACCATAAGATCCTAAATATTGTCCCGTTAAGGATAAAACAACCAAAAATGCATTTATCATTAACATCTTAGCCATGCTTATTAAAATAACAAAATGTAATGAAAAATTTATACTAATTCATAAAGGAAAAAAGTTATTTATCAGCTGAATGCTCCTAATGAAAAATAATATTTCATACATATTCCTAAAAAACGACCATAAGATCCTAAATATTGTCCCGTTAAGGATAAAACAACCAAAAATGCATTTATCATTAACATCTTAGCCATGCTTATTAAAATAACAAAATGTAATCAAAAATTTATGCTAATTCATAAAGGAAAAAATTAATTTATTAGCTGAATGCTCTTAAAATGAAAAATATTATTTAATACATATTCCTAAAAAATGACCACAAGATCCTAAATATTGTCCCTTTAAGGATAAAGCAACCAAAAATGCATTTACCATTAACATCTTAGCCATGCTTATTAGTGTGGCCTTAACAAACCAATCAAATTAAATACAATTAATTTTTTTATTTAATATTAATATTTTTAATTCATTATTAGATAGGATGATCATACTAGTTATTTAATTATGCTATTATATTTTATTCAGTCAAAGTGGAATTTTTAAAATGGACTTGTACTAATTTTTAATTTTTGTATTTCAGTTTTATAATTTCACTTATGACACCGACCTGTGTGAGCCAGTTTTTTCGTTTGTCATAGGAAGGTTAGTATATTTGTTATATTATCTTAACTATTCGATAGACTAATTGTTTTATAAATATTATTATTTATTTCTCTGGTGGATTTGCACATAGAATTAAAATCATTATCTCATTTGTTTTAATTGCTTTATAGAAGCCAAAAAAGAATACATACATAATTCAGGTTGCATCTTTATCAGCATATTGTTTATGTGCACATATATTGTCAGTTATGTTACAGTCATAACTATTTTTGATTTTGTTTAATTTTACTCGCCAGTAAGGTTTTCTATTTTAATTTAGAGTGTGCAGCTTAGAAACTGTAGATCAAACACGTCTTTTATGTGCCATAGAATTGCCACTGAGTGATGTAATTAGACACCAAGTAGAAAATACTTCTCACACATCAGTTGGGGAGAATGGGCCTTCTACATCAAACTCAGTAAGACATGTGTTTTATTGTATATTACTACATATTAAAATGGATCAAATGTTTTAATTGGTGTGAAAAATCCACTTTTTAATTTAAGTTTATGCTGTCCTATAATAATTTTTGCTGTCATTTTTTCATTATTCTTTTTTATTGATGTTTTAGTTCATTACTGATAATATCTAATAGTATGTTGTATATCAAATAAGATGACAAAATGTTGACCACTATATTAAAATTGAAGACTGTATAATTTTGAAGACAAAAAATCTTCCAAAATAATGCTATTACTTCATTAAAATATATATATATACCATAATTTTGCGGCAGCACAGTGTCTATGATTTGAAATATTAAATTTTGGTATGGGCTGCATATCTAATGGGGTGGCTTATACAAAGGTTTTCTTTTTTTAACTACTTGAGCATAAAGATTTTATTTTATTGCATCGATTCTCCAAAATTTCATTATTACTCATCTTTAGAATCTAAAGAATTAAAAATGCTGAAAAACAGCTTGCAAGAATGCAACGATAGCGCAACAGACGATCTCCCTTTTAATCAAAGATGCCGTTGACGAATTTCCCTCCCGCAGTCTCCCCTTGAATAGTCTGTTATGAGGATCCGTGGAAATGCGATTCCCCATTTCTTCTGTTGCAGGTGTGAAAAAAATTTTGAAAGAAAAATATGCAAGCCATGTCATTCTCGAAACTGAAGGAGTGGAGTGAAATGCTTAAATGATCTATCTTGAAGGTCAACTTCATTATTTTTGCTTTGCTTTTTTATCGTAAATTTCCAAGTCTCGAAAATATACGATTCCGCAATTCGTTCGAGAGAAATGATACAACATTAATGAGTGTGGCTAAAAAAGGAATGCATGAGCTGCTTTATTTATTCAATATTTAACATTCATTGAAACAATTTTTAGCTGTTTAATCATTTGATTTATTTATAACTGGGATATTATAAATTATAAAAGAGGTAATGTGTTCACAATAATTTTATGCTTTTATTTTGCACAGAACAAGATAATTTGTTTATTTTCTTGCATCTACTTTTTAAAAATTATTTTAAAAGTTTTTAGCTGTATCATTTGATAGGTTAAAATTTTAGAAGTTTAAAATTAATTGAAAGAAATTGGATGCATTCATGATTGTTTTGTGCAGTACTATTTTGCACAACGCAAGATGTATTTTATTTTATTCAATTATTATTAATATTTTTGTGAATTATTGTAAAGATTTTAAGCCCTTTAATTATTTGATTTAATAATATTTAGGTATTTCAAATCAAATTACGTAAAGTGACGTGATGCAATTGTTCTATATCGTAAAATTTTGCACCTAGTAAAATTCTTTTAATCAATTTATTGTCTTTTGAGGGCTTATTTTTATTATATTTAGACTCTTAATCACTTTGTTTACATAAAATTCGAGTATTTTAAATTGTTATTTATTAACGTAATGCGTTTGCAATTCAATTGCGCTCAATTTTACACTGTACAATTTTACGGACATTTGAAAAGTTATGATGATAATTATAGAAATACAAAGTTTCTGATTTTAAGTAAGATTGAATATTAATTTTTTGTATGTAATTATTTTAATGATATTTAAATGTTTAGTTATTCATTTTGCATAGAACTTGTTATCTGAAACAGATGCATTAATTCCCCGATCGTTCTCGCAGAAAATTTTTTTGCTACATATCCGATGGTGCGGCTTTTCTGATGTTTTACGGGTGCGACGTATATACCAGGGTAGCATATCTCTGCTATGTATATTCAGGGTGATTCTAATTAAAGTTATGATTTCAAAAAGTGAAAATTTTAAAACTACTCGACAGAATGACCTGATATTTTAGCTGAACAATTGTGAGGCAATGGAATTTTGTTTGGAGAAGGGGAGAAAATTGTTACAAAATCTGCAATAAATTTTCTAATAATTTAAAATTAAATTTATTAATTAATACTTATTCCTGGAACTATTCTTTTTAAGATAAAAGTACTAATAAAATGAAAGTTTTCCTAACTCCTATGTTTTTATAATGAGGTTTAATGATAATAAAGGAGATCATTTTTGGAGTGATTAATTTTATGACCTTGATTTAAATAGGCTGGTGTTACCTTGATATTAGCTTTCTGGAAACATTGATTCAGAGAGGTATAAAATAATCCTGAATACATTTCGTAGTTGAAAATTCAATATTTGAGTTTTTATAATTAAGAATCTATTCAAATGCGTGAACTACAATTTTGTGGTATGAAATTTCAGTTATTATCTCCTCCTTAAGACTCCTAGGGAATTGAAATTCTCTAGATCATAGATTTCTAACCTATTTTCAATTAACCACCAAAGTCAAAAGAAATGTTCAATGTTCTTGTATAAAAATTTTTTACTAAGATATTTAGAAGCAACTTTTTTTAAAAAACATTTTTCCTATGTCACACTTTAATCATATTGCTATTTTGTTGAAAATTCCTACTGAAAAATGTAATTTATATTTTAATCTTTATTTAGCTAATTTTTTAATAAACTTACCCTCACATAAAGGTTATGCTAAAAATTATAAATTGAAATATTAAACTACGTATTTTTATAGGTCTTGAAAAATAATTATTAGATAACACTGTGATCTAATAATAATTATTTAATTCTATTTTATTTATTGTGGTATATTTATCTTAGATTTGTACAACTTTCGATCTGCGGGAGGCATGACGTCACTTAAAACCACGTCGATACCGCATATACACCTGTATTTTATTTTAAAGGCATGTTTAAATACAATTAAATAATTAAATTAGAACAATCGAAAATATAAAAAATCAACCTCTCTCACTCCCTCAGTTGGTTGCAGTAAAATTATTTATACTTTAAATGTGTTTTTATAAGGAAAATAGCAGTTTAGGTGAAATTCAAATAAAAAGATTTTTAATTGCATAAGAATGTCATAGAACCCTTTAACATAAAGCAGATACTAAGGAATTCTTAAGTGGATACTGCAGAATATTAAGTTACTATACCAAATTTTGAAATCTAATTGCTTCTGCAATATAATTATGAAAAAATTGATATCAATTGCAACATTGTGAAAATTTAGTAATTTAGTAGAAGATTTAGTAGTAAAAAAATATCAAAATAATTTGTTAAAAATTGAAGAAGAAAAAATTTTACTTTTCAAGGAAAAAAAATTATTGGACTAATTAGTGTTAAAATTTTTCTGAGTTGAACAGTAAGAGCAAAGTGTTGTATACACTATAATGGGTTAGTAATCCCTTTCTCAATAAATTGCTAAATTAATATAATTATTTTAGAAACATTTTAATGTATGCAGAGTTAAATATATACCGGTTTTTTAATACAAAACAAAAGAAGTAGTTAATTTAATGCCCACTCTATATTTAAAATAATTTTTTCTGTGAGTTGTACAAATTGTTCTAATGCCCCATAAGAGTCTTCAATAGCCCTGGGGGTGGTGGCACCATGTTGGAACCTTAGATCTCTCTGTTATTTGGTCTCTTTAACATTTAAACCTTGTTAAAATAAAATCTATATATGCATATAAAAAGAACTTTTAAACTTTTTATTAAAGTAAAATTGCATGCAATAAGCAAAATAATTATATTTTAAATCTTTTTATGTGTTTTTTACCTGTGTGAACAGTTCTTTATAGCATTGAGAGTAAAGAACTAATTTATCAAAATTGTTTTCTCTTTGTTCATTGCTTAATTTTAGGTATATTTTTATTCTAGTTTTAGCATAATAATAGTAGGTTATCCCCAATGTTATCTGACCTTGATATTTTATTTCACCTATTGTTGATAGTCAATGCTTTTTTTTTTAATTCTAGAATTCTTTAGTTGCCAACTCACAACTACTATTAATTGGATATAATGCTATAGATGGCAAACCATATATCATGACTAAAATAGATATTGAAGAAATTTTAACTCCAAATATCATGGTGTATGAGGTAAAAATGGTCTTAGTTTTATTATTATTTTTTTAAATACTGATACATGTACTGACTAATATATTTAAATGTTTCGCCACTTATTTCTATCTAAAAAATTAATTAATTAAATAAAAATTAATTATTCAAAATTAATTAATCAAAAATTAATTAAATTTCTAACTAATAAAATTGAAGTAAATATTAGGTGACATTTTTTTTTCTTCTTCCAAAAGGACATGTGTAGTACTTTAATAAAATACTTTTCCCTTCATCCCATACATGTTATTTTTTCATAACCAATATAGATATGGATATTGTATTAGTTATGAATATTATCAATATTTATTAAATATAATAGCTGTTAAGGAAAATTTTAGTAGTTATAACTTAAACTGGATAAATTCTATACAAGGTATCTGTTACATTTTAGATTTTGAAATTCATGACTTTCCATGACTAATTCCAAGAATTTTTCATGACTTAAAAAAGTTATTATTTTCTCCAACAAAAACACAACAATAAATTTAAAAAAGCATTATAATAACCATTGAAATGATAGGTATAACCAAAACTGCTGTACTTCATATTTATAGATTGTAAATTTAAAAAACAGAGTAAAGAAAGAGTTGAAGTAGTAAAATAGCTGGAAAAAAACTACAAAAGCAAATAATTTTTTTTTCTATTGAATTATATTCTAAAGATACTTTTCTTGTTCATTGGAAAAGAAATACTCTTGATTTTTCTGTTCTCATTTCGGAATAAAAAAAAAATTCGCCAATGACTGGCTTGCTTCAGCTAGGATTTTAAATTGATAAATAAAAAAATAATAATAACAAAAATTCTGAAATTACAGAAGTTTAAAAGATAATTCGGTCTAGAAATGTTTTTTCTTTCATTTTTTGAAAGAACACCATGATCTTTAAAGAACACGATAAAAACACTTTATATTTTAATAAAGTATGACTGTGAGAGGAGATTTTGTTATTCGGAACACCATAAAATTGGGGGGGGGGGGGAANGGGGGTGGGTAAATTCCATTTTAAAAATTAGATTTTTGGGCAGCCTAAATGCATGACTTTCCATGATTTTTTTTAATAAAAAAAACTTATAATCATGACAAATTTTGTTCAATACCAAAATTCATGACTTTCCATGATTTCTCATGACTTTCCAGGTGCACAGATAGCCTGTCTATATTTATCTAATTCTTTTTTTATGAAAATTCATTTACAAGGAGACTAACTTCATTAGCTGAAGTATGTGTGTGTGCTTTTTTTTATAATGTAACTACAAATGAATCTTATGATTTTAGTACATTTGCTTAAAATGTTAATATTTTTGTTAATATATACATTTTAACATTTATTATTTTGTTTTTATTGCTTATTTCTACTTTTAATTCCATAAAATAAAGCCCTCATCAAATTCAGAAAAGTACCTAGCTCTTACACACTGCACTAGGTACATATAGAAATACATTTAAATGTTGTATTTTTTACTTACCATGTTATATTTTCAGAAGCATAATGTAATCACACAAATAACTCGTATGATTTAAGTACCTATATTTTCCTTAAAATGTAAATATATTTATTCGTGTATTTCTAAATTCTATTTTTAACCCCGTAAAATAAAGCCCTCAACAAATGCAGAAAAGTTTTAACAAAGCTCCTATTCTGGTACCAACAGAAATACATGAAAATGTTGTGTGTATTTCTTACTTTTCTAGGTTTCCAGGGATGTCAAGAATTCCAAGATCTGAATAAAATCATGTTTAAGAAGGAGAATTTGTATTACTATGACTAACCATTTTGAAAATTGATCACCATATGGTTTGAGTGTACGTTTGGTTGTATAAGGTTTTATTTATATTTTGTTTTATTTATTTCGTTTTATTTTATTTTGATTTTTGTTTTATTCTAACCAAATACAATTTTTTTTTGTTAAACAATGTTAAAGAAACAGTATAATTTAATTTTCCAGTTTATATTTTTAATTTGCTGATTAATTTTAATTCTTTTTAAATTATTGAGTTTTTGTTTGAAATTATTTTACTTTAAATTATATTTCTTTTTGTTAGTGTATTTTCATTTTATTTCTAACTAATTAGATTTTTAATATCACGTAGCCAAATTTTATTTTTTTAAACATACTTTGTTTTAATTTCTGTTAAAACATTTTATTAGTTTTGAAATGATTCAAGCAAGTTGAAGTATTCGTTTGAAAGCTATTTTATTTGTAAGAGTGTGAGAGATAATTTATTTTTTCCAAGTTTGTTCAGTAATTTAATTTTCCTAAGTGGAATTCATTTCTTGTTGGTTAATGTTTTGAAACAGTTGCTCTTGAAAATCTGTATTTCTTTTTAAATACTTTTTCTTTACTTATTTTACCTTCAAAATTAAAACATTAAGTTTTTTTCTCTTTTATTTTGGATTACAAAAGTTAAATTTATATTTCTTGCTATTTTTTTTTAATTTTAAACAAATTTATTAAGAATGAAGTCTGATTTTAGTAAGATACTTTTAATTTGTTTGAGCTAAATATTAGTTTTCAAATCTATATATTTTAAAACCAAATTGTAAGATTTATAATAACACTAGTTTCTACAATTTTGAGTAATCAATAAAAAATTATTAATTCAAAATTACAAATTTTTAACCTTAAATAGATTTTTAAATTTATCAAAAGAATTTTAAGTATGTTAATAAACATATAAAACATGGTGTACTAATTTTGGAATTGGTTATGCAGTGTGTGCTATATTTATCATAACAAAGATGAAACTTTTTTCTATGAAAAATATGCCATTTAGGTAATTTTTTATGTTGGTAAAATTTTTTAGACATCATAGTAAGAGTTTTTTTTTTTAAAGTCAAATAATTGTTGCAATTGCGGTCATTTATGGTGAGACTACATCAATTTGTATAAAACTTTAGAGTCTATTTTTTTTAAAATTTGGGGAAATTTTTAAAAAAAAAATTAATTATTATAAGTTAGAATCAACAAAAGTATACATATTTGAAGAAATAACATTAAATACTGAAGTTTATCTGTATTAAAGTAGCATTTAGCAAATAAATTAATACAGTCAAACCCCGCTATAGTGAATCTTCCAGGGACCGAAATTTTGGTTCACTATAACCAGGAGTTCACTATATTTACGCAGGCAATTTAACTACGTAATGGTTCCCAAACTCCTCCCTATTATTACACATCATTCAAATAAATGACTGAAAAATATTATGTAGTAGCAAAAAATGTGGGTTTTTTTTCATTACTCTTTGTACAAAAAAAAATCTTTAGCTGATGAGCAATCCTGAACATGTTTAACAACATTATGGAAACACTTCCCCACTCTTCCCACATAAAAGTAGTCTCATAAAATCACTTAGCAAATTCATCGACCAGATTTGTCCAGATACTGGAAGATTGCGGCTTTTTTACTTCCGTAATGCTTCCACGTAACCACTTCCGTAATGCTTCTTCAACATCCTTGTGATCTGCGTTTCTCAACTTTTTTCTGCCATCTAAATTTTTTTCATGAGCAGAAATTATTAATTGCCTATTTTTCCATATATTACAAGCTGCAGATTTTGATAGTTTATATTCCCTGCAAATATCTGCTTGATTGCATCCATTTTCAATTTTTCTGATTATGCCCTTTTTATCCTCAATGAAGAACGTTTTAGGTTTAATGATAGCCATAATAAATTTGAGACACTTGTTTGCAGGATTTTTTTAACTGAACTGAGAGCAAAAAGGAGTTGAAATGAGGGCCTTATAAATGCATATTAGTGTTCAATCCTTTGACCAATAATGAATAATTACACATTCCCTCTGACAGAAAATGCATATTGATTTCAAAATTATTACAAAATTTTTAAAAAAAAAATCAGTTGAAGACAGAAAAAAGTTCATTATATCCAACTTCCTCACTTTTTTGGTTCACTATATCCACAAAAAATAACATTATCTGTGTATAGCAAGGCACGGGACCGAACATTTCGTTCACTATATCGGGGTTTGACTGTATAACTTATCATAAAATGTGCTTAATCGCAGTTCAATGTCAGATACATGGCTGTGGGACATATAGAGAAAAACAATCCATTGTTTTTGATATTGTACTATGGTAGACATATTTCAGTCCTTTTATTCTTAAATTTTGTTTACTTCCAATCCTCTCATAACCCTTTATTTACGAAATTATTAAAAGCTTTATGTGAAACTTTTTTGTCCCATGAAATAATGTCCATTTTTCATAAAGTTTTAAATTTAGTACTTACACTACATTTAATTAAAATTAAACATTTAATACTTTGTCTTATAACTAGTTGAAAATGTGAAATGTTTTATAACTAGTTATGAATAAATAAAAAAACACGAAAGACTTACTTGAAAATATGATCGAGATAGAAAGCTGAGAATTGAGGAATGAAAATGAGAAATCATGAAATGGCAATCTTGAATAAAATATCAACAACTAAAAACTTCCATAGGTGATGTTTAGCTTCTAATAAATGTGTGTTTACAGCTAAGAATGATAAACAGAAAGTCTTATTCCAGAGACAGACAAGTTCCAATGTAATATTCTGTAATTATTCTGTTTCAATGCAATGGGAAAATATTTGTGGCAGTTAAAAGGTCCTGTCGGTATATAAAAAGTAAAAGACTTGTTTTTTTGAAGAAAACTTAATTTTAAATTTCTTTTCTATAAAGAAAATGGATGAAATTTTTTTAACATAGGCAACAATGGAAATGTTTGAGGACATTTTATTAAGGACTTTATGAAAAATAAGGTTTTTACAAAAGTTATTTTATTGTCCTTTTATTCATTAATTAATATTTTATATTTCAATTCTTTTACTTATATAATACATTTATGAATTGCTTTGAATGCATCTGTGTACAGTGCGCAAAAAATGGAACAACATGAATAACTTTTAATCTAATGATAGGATTTTCATGTACTAAAATAGTACTTCAAAAAATATTATTAAAAAAAAACTGTTTAGATGATTTTTGCCAAATATTATTATTTTTTTGGTTACTTAAAAATACATGTTTGAAAATGTAAATACTTTTCAGATAAGATTACTAGTAGCCTGCTTTAGAATTCTGAAACTTAAATCATTTGATAATTTATTTTTGTTCATAGAATTATTTTTAATTAAACTCTTCACATATTTGGTCATGTAGGTGGATGTTTAATTCTTGCAATTATAATTACTGCTTATTTTAAAAAGATCTAAAATATATATTCTTGACTACAGAATACCTCAATAGAAGTAAATGATTTGGCTGCACTGATAATATTATTTCCAATGTTAAGTTTGAGTTGCAAAAAGTAATTTTCGGCATGTTAGATTATTTTGAAAAATCGCTAATATTTATTAAAAAACTATATCAGATTTATTAAATACCAACTTTTGACAATTTTATGAAATATAACAAAGAAATTTACTGCTAGTTTTTTTTATTTTATAAAAAATTAACAAGTGTACTGTACAGTTATTATTTGAATAGGTGTTTTTACTTAAAAATGATTGTAAGTAAAATTTAACATTTCATGTAAGTGTATAATGAAATGTGAATGTTATGAGCTCATGTTATCCTGGCTCATGAGAAATGTGAAGAACACGTATGCCCGGAATATGGAATCATTTCACCCATTAATTACCATTATTTCTCAATGCTCAATTGATACTACCAGGTAGGTAACGTAAAATTAACATTAACAAATGGTATCAATTAACATGAAAGGATTCAAATTCAATTGTTCCATTTTTTTTTATTTATGCACCGTACAATATTTCAAATCATTAATATTTCCTTTTATTTACAGCCAATGACTAACATTTGTATAGTTGCTAGCAGTTGTAGTTCTCGGATTCAATTTTTTTCCGTAGAAAAGATTCCTATTGCAAAGATAACAGAAATGGTGAATATTACTTTATTAACTATGAGTAATGATTTGATTTTTTAAAAAAATAACTCTTTCGAATGACATCTTACATTTTTAGGTTTTTTTTTTTATCACCCCAAAACTACTTTTATTGTCGCAGACATTACTAAAATTTAAAATTTGTATATTTTTTTATGTAATGTAAACCAGTATTGTGTTGTCTTTTAAGAGAGACTCATGCTACTTCAGCAGACTAAAAGCTAATTATTTATTTGAGAGAAATAAAATTTTTATAAAATGTGATTTATTGCTTAGATGAAAGTACATTAAGCGTGGATTTTATAAAAAATTGGCCAAATATTTCAATATTATCATTGATAAACTTGTTTCAATTAGTCTAAAATGATCATAACTTAATTTTAGAATAAAAACTGACTTACCTAAAAATTTAAAAGAATTTTTAGCGTGTAGCATAGATAACATTAAAATAATTGGTTACCATTTTTATAAATTGGAAAATGTGGCATAAAGGAATTAATATCTCGATTTTTGCTTCTGTTTTCCAAGTGCCTTTCTGCGTCAAAAGCTGGTTTGTGTTTACACACAACTCAAAAATGTTATAGCAGAGATGTTTTAATCTTAAGTTAATTTGACGTTAGTTTACAAATATAGTTCTAAATTGTAAGAAGTTGACATAATTTTCTTCTGATAATGTCATACAGTTTTGCTTGATTCATGTGTAATAGTTTTGTTCAAGTGTAGCAGCTTTTATCAAAAAACAATTTTCTATAATATATTAAGTGTAAACTCAAATGTGTATTCAAAGAAGTACTTCAATGTATTTTTATTACTTCGTTTCTGACACATAAATTCATTATGTTTTTAAAAGCTATTATGAGGGGAAAAATTAATCATTGAAACAAATTATGGTAATGAACTAAGAAAACAGTGCTTTCCTCCTAAGGCAGTAAACAAAACTTAATATTTAAAAAGCTCAGCATATCTTAAAAGATTATGATCAAAGACTGATGCAAGATGCCAAATTAGCTTGGGATTGTTAATGGAAGTGTAAAATTTGCACAATAATCTGTGGTAATTAATGTGAAATTAGTATACAATAATCTGTGGTAATTAATGTCAGGATACTTATTTATGGTTAATTAGAAATATTCATTTTTTATAACTTACCTTTTAAATTTTGTTTATAGCATGCAACTTATGCTATATAGATATATGCTTAAAACTCAATGTATATATATATTTTTTATAGGTCTTAGAGAAAGGTAAAGTACCAAAGGGGATAGCTATCAGTACCTTTAATAACACTAAACTCTTATGGCTGTTAAGTGGACAGTCATGTGAAGATTGCACTGCCTCTCTCAATATTCCTGATGATGGATACATTAGTTGCAACATGACATTTCGAGTTATAGCTTTGAAAGCGTTATTAGGTCCTGAAAAGAGATTCATTGTCCAGGAGAAAGACTTTGCAAGCTGCTTTGATCGGAGAAACACTTTGAGGGGGCGTGCTTGTTCAGAGAGTCGTATCAAACTTCCAGAAAGGCAGCCACCGGTCGAAAGTGTTCCTCCTAAGGCCGATACCCTTCCCAGAAGCACTCCTATCAAAACTAGCAAAACGATGGACATTAACACTGCCATTTCTAATGTTCAGGAGCCCAAAAAAGAGTTTTGCGACAAAGCCGTCGAAGCTCACCTAGATAGAGTAGAACCTTGCAACGAGGTAGAGAACGATGACAAAAGTGTCCTTAGCTACTATTCTGCCGAATCTATTGTGATGCCAAAGAAAATCGAAATAAATTCCTCCAGTAATGAAGATTATTACAGCATCGAGCATTATTCTTCTGTGAGCCGTGGCAGCACGTTGCGCGGAAACATAGCAGAAAGAAAAATATTCGATATTGAGAGATGCGTCTTGGATATGTTCGAAACACACAGCACCGAGCTCAACGACATAAAAGCGGAGCTTCGAGAACTGAAAAAGGTCGTATCTGGAATATCTGCCCTTCATTACAGCTCATTTACTTGCACCAACAGCCCTTCAAATGCTCAGTTATTATGCCACATACAAGAGTTACAGCACAGTGTGCACATTGTTGAAAATAAGTTGGATAGTATGACAGTAGACATTAATTCTAGGCTAAAACATCAAGACAGGAAATTGAGTGAAATAAGGAAAGAGTTGAATACGTTGTTATCGAAACGTTCTTAAGCATTTAAATTCAGATTTTCGCTTAGATCTTTTAATTAAGCTCAAAACATGTAAATAAAATATTATTCATCACGTTATTCTGCATATATTTTTTTTTCTTATCAAATGACACATGACATTGCTTTTAAAAAATAATGTTTATTGGGATGTATAACATTTTTTAAAATATTCATGTAAACAAAAAATTAAAAAAAAAAATTTAATTAATAGCAAGATGATGATTTTGTTCTTGGAGAAAGAACTCTTAAATCCAGCCCAGAAGTTTGATTGCAAAATGTGCTGTTGTGTAGATAAGAGTCAAATTACCAACATACATGAACATCCCTCTGTAACGTTTCTGGGGATCTGTAAATAAATAGTTTAAATTTTAAACTATAATAAGTGAACAATATTAATTTTGAACTTAGTATGTCCATAGTATGAACACTCTATTGGCTAAGTTCAAAATTAATATTGTTCACTTATTATAGTTATCACTAAAATTATTTTTTCTTTTGTTTCAGATATTGATAAACTGAAATGGGCACAATTGAACAGGATGGAAAATATTAGGGAAGGATACCTTATGCACTTAAGAAATTCCTATTAACCCTTTGATGCAGAATTTTTACTACTAATATAATAATTCATGTCTTACCGTCATGTCATGAAATACCGGTCTTTTTCTGCATTAAAGGTGAAATTTTTAACAATTTACATTACATTAATTTCCTTAAAAAATTAACACTTATTTGCAGTTATTTAGATTTAAGAGAAACACTAATTCATTATTACATTTTCTACAAAATCAATTGAAAACTTCTTTTCTTTTAAATTGCTTTTCTGGAATTTTATATTTTAGTTAAAATATAATTCCGGTAATCTAACAATTTATAGTAATTATTAGACTGTTTTTTCATAATTAAAATAAACTTATATTCTATTTAGAACATCAGAAAAATATATAAAAGGGACACCGGCGTACCGTCTGAGTCAAAGGGTTAATGAATGTTTAATCTTGCTCACCTAGTGCAAACATCTATTTTGAGATTTAGCATTATCTTTTGTAAAGAAAGCCTCTTAACTGTATGAATTTGAACACCCACTTTTTAAAAGTAAGCTTTGATCTAAGTATTCTTCCTTCACCCTTCCATAATATCTCATTGGATTCCTGGCCACTTATGCCCTTTTACCGTGGTTATCGGGTAGTTAAGGATTTGTTTCATTTCAATATTTTTTAAGGTTTTGTAAATGCATGGCACCATGAAAATGTAAGATACCATAAGACTTACACAAGCAAAATGTGGATAGACAAACAATATTAGAATAAAGTAAAGTAGGAATGGCAGAAGTATCAAGGATAGGATGAGATTTGATTAAGACTTCTAAAACTTACTAAATGTAAAACTTACTAAAATCTGATTTAGTTAATCACAAGTTGATGTTTCCAATGTAAGTTAAAAGTGAAAATTCCCCTTCTAACAAATACTATGAACCTTAATAAAAAAATTTCCAAGCTAGATTCAATTTAAGTTGCTAGTTTTATGATGCCAAAGAAGCTCGAATTTTTATAGTAGAACAATATACAGTGCGTAACATAAAAAACAGACCACCCTGAATAACTTTTGATCTAATGTTCACATTATCATGTTCTAGGGCTCAATTTTAAAGATTAAAGGGGGTGACCTCAAATATGCTAATTGATTAGCGCAGATGATGTTTTAAGTTACAAAATCATACCTTTTTTTTCTACGGATTTGGATTTCTGACCCCCAAATTATGGGGGTAGCCATAATTTCAGAAATGGGCTCCAAATAGTTTGGACCCCTTAATGTTAATTTTATTTCTTGCATATGGCCATATCTGTCATTAGACATGGTACTGCAGTAGAGATTTAAGTGTTCTAGCTATTAAAAAATGTTTGAAATCTATCTGATTGATTTCACTCAAATTTTCTATTTTTACCATGTAAAATAAAATTTTTTAAAATATGAAAATAATATATATGCCTAACAATTCAAAATTTTTTAGACTATTATTAAATATAATTATAAATATTTAAAAGTTATTTTTTTAATAAACAAATTTTATAATTATGTGTATAGGGTGCGTAGCATTTTTCAAAAGTCCTTAATTTTCCAAATTGCGATTTTTTTTCCTTTACCATTGTTGATTTTCACTATGAATTATGCAGAAAGACACTGTTCACATTGTTCTATTCAGTAGTTTCACAATTAATTCAACTCCAATCTATAGTGCTTAAAAATATTATTTGAATGCTTGAAAAGTGCTTATTTTTTGTTGATTTATTTGGCTACGCACCCTGTGTACAAAATTTTTTCAATTTATTTGCTAAGTTCTCGATCACAAATTCGAATCCTACAAAAAAAGGTATGTTTATTTTAAAAAAAATACGTTTTTGTATCTAATTTTGTAATTTAAAATATCGTCTGTATAAATTAATTAGCATATTTGAGGTCACTCTCTCTAACCACTAAGATTGAGTGGTAATACATAAAGATCTGATCATTAGATCAAAAGTTATTCTGGATGATATTTTTTTTCACACTGTACACCTAAGACCAATATCTAATTTGTCTTAGTCATGTGTAAGAGTTATATAGATGCTCTGGGCAAATTACTTGAATACATGCCCCTGAAAAGAGGAATTGTAATCATAGGAAAATAAAGTATGTTTTGTGAAATGTAATAAAAAACAAGGTAACAATGATTATTCATAATAATTCATTTTAATGTAAATTTATATAAAAATTATTCTGCACTAAAAAATATTTCCTTAAAGATTTTTATAAATGGATGCAAAAAATATAAATTTTAATGACCTAAAACTTCATTGAGAATCATATTCTACTCTTCATAAAATGTTTTGCTTGAGTCTAATATTTAATTGTTATATTTTATTTCATATTAAAAATAATAGCAATATATTCAACATTTTATTATCATTCATTCGATGCCTCGATTGATGCCTGTTGGATTCCTCTCTGCACGCCGCTGAGACTAACTTGTCTCAAAGTCGTGCTCGTGCAAAATTGGTAATAAATTTTCATATTGTATTTAAAATGTATCGATATATAAAGAGTTAGAATGATGTGAGGAAGAGCTATTTGTATGTTTTTGATTTAAAACTCTGTTTTCCAGTTTAAGGCACCTCTAATAAAAAATCAGGAGCTAGTAAGCATTCTGTATCATGTGAATAGAAATCTACCTTCATCTATCAGAAGGTACCTCCAGTTAGAGTAAAGTTAACAAATCTTATACACTAGTGAATAGATGTTTAATAATGGTAGTGGTAGTTACGCATATCCAGAAATAATAATAGTAGTATAAAAATTTTTATTATTTTCTTACCTCCAGTTGAATAGCCCAGAGCATATGCTATTCTACCAAGTAAGTAAACAGCTCCACCTGCTGCACTCAGTCTCTGAAATTAATACAATACATACTTTGTAAATATATATTCAAGGTGTTCCCATAATTACAATATATAAGCCTAATCAAAGAAGTAGGCATATTAAGGATTCAAAAATATTATTCAGGCCAAAAAACAAAATAAACTAGTGAAGTTTAATGAATTAGCGAGGAAGGCAAGTCTGAAAAAATTAAAACTTGTTGGATTACCAGAGATGAGCTGAAAGACGATTTTTAGAATCACTTCTAAATTTCAACTCACAAGCAAACTGGTTTTGATGTAGTTCCTCTCATTTTTCTCACCATTGAGGGTTCAAATATATATATACATATATCAAATCTCTCAAATTTTACACAATCAATTTCTGTGTAAGTTTTCATGCTTCATTTCAATAACAAATTTTAAAAATATGATATGGTGATTAAAAACACCCTTCAAGGCATTTTGAATTGGCAGTTCAGGCATTGAAAATTAAATGGAATTTTGCTCTCAAATACAGATAAGTCTTGGGCACAATCTTTAGAAGTTTTAAATCTTTCTAAGCCATACAACCGTTTTACTGTTTATGACTGATAATAAAAATTAAATTAATTTATTTAAAAGTTTTTGAAGACACGCAGGAAAAAACCAACACAAAAAAGGACCAAGTATTTAAACATAAAAATATTACAGATGAGATAAGTTCAAAGATCTCATTCAGGTAATAAGCTTAAATTAATTAACGTTAATAATTTGAAAAAGCACATTTTCTTCCTGTTTCCTTCATTAATTTTTGAAAACAATACAACTTAATTTCAATTCTTATTTAAATGCTTGCCTGTATTTTCCTCATAAATATGATCATTTTTATTCATTCTAGAAGTCAGACAAAAAAAAAATTAGAAACAAGGTTATGTTAACCTTCCGTTAGTCGCGCGCACCTCACAGGTGCATCCCTACTGCACTTCCACCTCCTTTGCCGTCAATAGATTTTTCCGGGGGTCGAGCCTAATGTTATGTTCCTAACTTTGGATTACTCAAATGTCCGTGTAAAACCGACCTTAGAACATGTCGATGGAGAGTTGGAACCGCTCAAATCACCCCTCTGGTGCAGCGCGACCATTGACGCAAGTATTATGGATATAATATTTTTATGAATTAAATATATATATTTTATCTCATTTTCTGTCCTACTCAACGTAGCAGGTATAAATGGTCAAGTTATATACGAAGAAAATGGTTACGGAGTAAAAAACCGCAGAACCTTCTTGCGTCAATTGGTTGATTATCTTGGGATGGAGGAAGAGATCCGACGCGGGAGCAAGAAAAATTTATCTTCGGTACTTCGCTAAATAAATTTTTTGATATTTATCTCTGTAAAGAGTCTTAAATTGGAAACAATTAACTATTTAAACTAGACTAAATTTCATTTGGCTTTCAAAAAATCAGAAACACCTCATAGGTGCAACGCGATTAACCATGTCGGAAACAAGTGCGCGACTAACGGAAGGTTAAAGAATGCTTACTGGATAAGACAGTCCACCACAAAGTAAAAGGAATAAAAACTGTGGGTAGTTTTCAAGGCTGAAAATAAAATAAAAAATTAGTTTAAAAATATACACAACATAGTTTTTAAGAGGAAACACATCACTGTATAAGATAATTAATTATTTTGGGAAGTTATTGAAGTATCAAAAGACCATAAAAGAAATGAAAGAGCTTTAATATAGAGCTTATATTACAAGCTTTTCTGTCAGGTTATATGTGTACAGCTTTAAACTTAATTTCTGTGTTTCTTTTTATGGAGAAAAAGAAAGAATTTGTTATTTCATTTATCCAAAAATTCACATAAAGTGCAAAATTATTTGATAGCAAATCACCATGTGTTTGCTACTTTATAAAAATGTGCACAAAGCAGCAAAATTTAAAGCTACATTAAATTACACTGCAAAGAAACATCAACAAAGTCAACTTTAAAACAAGGTTTACGCATTCAACTCATAAACATTGGACAAATGAAAAATAAATTGTACCACTATAAAAAATAATTAGTAAATGGTATTTATAACATATTACATAATAGTGATAAAGATTTATATAGATTTACAGCTTACAAGTTTCCGTGGGCACGCTGTATGCAATTGAAGACTTGATTGGTATCGCTGTACATTATTGGATACTGTAAATATTAAAGAAAAAAATAATTAACTGAATGTTAAAGAATCTGGTTGGTATCATTACACATTATTGGATACAATATTAAAGAAAAAATAATAAAACACTAAAACTGATTGGTATCACTGTACTTTATTGGATACTGTAAATATTAAAGGAAAATAATTAAGCGTTAAAAGCTGAAATATCACGATAAATTCGTTATAAATTTTCGATCCTAATTAAATTGTTATAACATGAAAAACGAAAAAAAATGTAAATATTGTAGCATATAAAACGAAAGTTTAAATTACATTCATGCTTGTATTCAAAATACGGTTACAGGAATAGGTTAAAGCCGGTCCAATATTTAATATTCTGTATTCACGCAAACAGATTGACACCGTACAGTGCACAGAAGAAAAAAACGGATTACATTGAATCACTTTTGATCTAATAATTGGATCTTCAAGTTCTAGGACCTGATGTTAATGGCTCAAGGGGGTAACCTCCTCAAATATGCTAATTAATAAGCGTAGACGATACTATAAGTTACGAAATTAGACACAAAAACGTACTTTCTCTGCATAAACATATCTTTTTTTTCCGATGGATTCGGAGATCTGACCCCCAAAATATGGTTCCAATAGTTCGGTCAGGAGAGCGCTCAAAAGTTTGGACCCCTTAGTGTTAATTTTATTTTCTGCGTATTTCGTTTTATCTTGAGAAATTTTAAGCGAATTGAAAATTTTTTGCACACAATTATAAAATTCGTTTATCAAAAGATAATTCCATGTAGAAAATAGCTTTTATTTGTAAGGTCCTGCAATTTTTTGCATCATTTTAAAGAATATAATTTTACATGATAAATTACAAAATTTGAGCAAAATCAGTTGTATAGAACTGCAGAAATTAAATTTAAAAAAAAAATCAGACATTTAAAGTTCGATTTATCAGGAACTATTCAACCGATTTTGCTCAAATTTTGTATTTTGCCATGTAAAATTATATTTGCTAAAATGACGTAAAAAATTCTATAACTTACAATTCTAAATTTTTTGGACCATTATTAAATAATAAATATTTATTAAAAATAATTTTTTGCATAGAGTTAGATAAAAAGTTATTCAGGGTGGTCCGTTTTTTTCTTCTTTTTTCTTTTTGCGCACTGTGCATCAGAATCTGCATTCAGCCATTAAGGACTGAAAATGCTTTATCTTTTCAAATTGAATCAATTGTAATTTTATTGACAGACAAGTATCCAATTCGTATCTATTTAATATAAAACTTAGAACCCGAAATATTTCTTTAGAAACAAAAAAAACAACAAAAAAAATTACATAATATTTTTTTCATAACAGCTTAAAATTTTACTTCTACACATCTTTATTGCACATACTAATTTTTTCTTCCGTTTTACATATTTTTAATAATAAATCTCACTACAGTCTTGTCCGTAATGTTTTTTTTGATCATAAATAAAAGTTTTTTTTAAAAAAAGTAATCTTCGAAACAAAATATTAAGACTCAATAAAAGTGTGTTAGATAGACATTTACAATTTCGTCAATTTTATTTTATTAATTTTTTCGTATTATTGATAGTTTTAATATCTATTTTACAAAACTTTTTGATAAAAATTTACTGAATCCGTTGCTCGCCAACCTATGCAGTTATTTTACATTCGCTGAGCCAAAATCAAATTATGGAGTGAAATGATTAGTATTCGTTTCTTGTGCGTAAATTTAAAACCCGTAAATAATAAATCCCAAAACATTTACTTGCTAACATCCACTTATCTGGTTTATATTTTATAATACATCTTAAAAATGGTCAATAATATCAGGTTTTGTAAGATATGCTAAAAGGAAAAGACGATGGAAATGCTCCAATAGAAATAAAATAAGCCTCTTTTTGTCTGCAGCAGACATGCGATTAACTAAAGATCGCGTAAGTGTAAGGAAGAATTTGTAAGTGGAATTTTAAAAATCTTTGTACATTAATTTACATGAAGTTCTCTAATTAAATAAAAAAAAAAAAACTTTCTTTTGTCGAATGAAAGTTGGCAATGTAATCACATTATATTAAAAAAAAAAAAAAAAAAAAGGAGGGAAAGAAACGAAATTTTAAAAAGTTAAGTCCAAAAACGAACTTAAAAAACTAATTTATAGTTTTAAAAAGAGATTAAAGTCTTTTTATCCTTAGACATAAGAATGCAACATACACAAAATCTTTGTTTTACTTAGATTAATTTTAACTTCACATCGAAATAGCTGAAAAACCGTCAATAGTGAGAAGACGCAACTTAATGACTTCAAAAGAAACTCGAAATTTCAACAGAGAAAAATTTTCTTATCTTCAGGCAAAACAGTGCCTGATGCAAGAAAAAAAAAACATAACTTTGCAGTTTTCAATCTAAACTAATATAAGTTGTTCTTGTCGTAGGCCATTTAAGGCAAGGGGTGAGATTGTTCTAGTTTTCCAGTGGAGCCATCTATGGCCAATAATTCGATTTCTACCACACCCATACGTCACACGCGTTCATAGGGCGGACATATTCATACACCCATTTATTCATCGACGGATCGTAATTTTGACCTGAGCCAGAGAACAATCAATCTTCAGTTCAGTACCTTCAGAGGTATAATTTGTTAATTGAACACGGAGGACTTTGTGACCAGATAGATTTAACGTACACCAGTCACCATTTACTACACAGGCAGGCTGTATTCGAACTCCCGCTCTCACGAACGCGAGTCCATCACCCTGCCAACCACGTTATCACGGTCCAAACTAATGTATGCATTCATAAAATAATTCAAAAACTAATGCACGCATCAATAACATTTCCTTTTGATCTCCTTTTTTTTATTATTTATTCTACTTTTTTTTAATTATTGACTCTACTCGGTGCTGTGTGTTTCAAACGTATACATACTAATAAAATTCTACTTTTGCCATGTTATTTCTTTTAAATTTAAATTCTAATAAAATGCAAGAAACCATCACGGTGTAATAAAAAATAAATAACGATGTAATAAAAAATAAATAAATTTGATTATTAGCTTAAAATAGTAAATCTAAAATTTGCGGTACAAACAAGGCGAAAACCTGGCAGTGGAGCACGCTATAGTACAATTGGGTTCTTGCACTTCAAGAAGAAGAGGATCAAGGATACCGACACATATGACCCATGACGTCAGCGCCAGCTGATCGTTTATAAGCAAAATGGCGTGTTAAAGTTGAGCTAAGTTTCGTTACATAAGTTAAAATGTTAATCAACGTGAAGTTAATTAAATACAGCGCTGTATCGCACATCGAAATCGCTAAAATATAATTCTTTCCCGCCTACATCTTTTACTTAACTTCGATTTATTATATATATTTTATAGAAACCATGACATATTTTTGTTTTGTGTACCTGGCAACTTCGATGCATAGTTGGTTTGTTCATGTTCTACAAAGCTTTGCGCCTGTCTTTGTGTTAAGTAGGAAATATATAGTTAAAGAATTGAAATATTTTTGAAAGAAAATAGAACATGTCACTTGATGGGGTTGGTTTTCTCGAAACAGAATAGAAAGAACCGTTGCTAACGTAAACAAATGCCACGTTTCAATAACCAATCAGGACCGAGATACCCACACTATACAATACCTTCTAGAGAGGGATCCCATCTAGGAGGTATTGCACTATGTTAGTTGCAGGTATCCCATACATGTATATAATAGAGAGAGAGAGAAAAAGTTTATAGATCAGGAATGACTGATATTTTTCATAGTTGGATTTTGTTATTAATCTAAATATATTCTAAATACAAATATATTCTTCACATACCTTACAATTCTACATCGATCATGATTGAATTAAATAAAAAACAAGTAAAAGTTATTATTATTATTATTTAGTGCGTTAAAAGTAAAAATAACATTATGGGGTTTTAAAACTTTCGACGGCCCTCTTGACTAAATCATTAGGATTATATTTCCCTAATTGAGGCAACCTTCTTAACGTTAGTACCAACAATAAGTGAAAATTTGATCATTAGTTCAAATTTTCCATACTAAATTTGTGCCTTTCTTTTTAGGTTATTTAGTAATTAAATTTATCAAAAAATGAAAAAAATACCAAAAATTAATAGAAAGAGTTTATAACTGTCATCTTTAGAGAATATCAATAAACAATGAAATGAATTTTAATCAATTCCTTTAGCATATATTTAATTTGAATTGAAATAATAAAATTTTTCGGATAAAAAAACAAACAAAAAAACTTTTTTTTTTTCTTCAAAGAATTCTTGTTTCCATTGACGCTTAATAGAAACGTCCAAGGTTAATCATCATGTCTCCCATATCGTTATCTTCAAAACAATAAGAAATCATTTTCCTTATCATGAATTGAAAAGACATTATCTAATATTACATGACAGTGCATTATAGTGTAACAATAAACCCAGGAAAAGGTTATAACTATAAGTTACAATTTAAAATCTTTTTCATCTTTTGTAAATTTAAAAACCGGATTATATCGGTTTTTCACCTTCACAATAGATATTAATCAGCTAAACACAAGATTCAACAATAGGATATAATTTTCATTTGTATAAGAAAAGTTAAAAATCGTTTGAAACGTTTTATAGGGAGAGATGGGAAAATGCATTTAACATTTATAATTATTTTCTTTTATTTAAATATAGTCAATAGACACTGAGTAATACACTAATGTAGACACTGAATTTTCTAATTTGGAAGTTTTGTTTAAAATCTTTATCTTTAAATTATCGAAATAGTTTATGGAATCACAATTTAAATTCAAAAACTGTAGGTATGTTTAAATTAACATTATTTTATTTTCATAAACTTTATACTCAATGATAAAAACTATTCTGCTTTATTAATATTGTCACTTAATTATTCAGGGAATGTTTGTTTTTAATTCATGGGCTTCGCAGAGGTGCAATTATTGCAGGGGATGAAATTTAACTACACAGCCCAAAAGTTTTCTAAATTTCAACGTAAGAACAAAAATTTCTTACGTTTTTTATTTATTTCTTGGTTTTAACTTTGATGGATTCAAATTCACGATGAGTGACGAATATTTTCGTTATTAGTCTAACAATATTGAGGAGGACTTTAAAAATTTATCAAACGCTATCCAATATATTAGCCGCTGGGGTTTTTACTGATTAAAATTTACCAAATGCTATACAATATAATGAACGCTGGGTTATTTTTACTGATAAAAATCTACGAAATGCTTTTCAATATACTTGATACTGGGTTTTTAATGATAAAAATTTACCAAATGCTGTCCAATATATTGGACGCAGGGATTTTAATCATAAAAATTTAACAAAAGATATCCATTGTATTGGATGCTGGGTTTCCAAAGATAAAAAATTACCAAAATGCTATCCAATATATTGGCTGATGGGTTTTTAAAGATAAAAATTTACGAAATGCTATCCAAAGTTTTGGACGCTGAGTCTTTAATGATAAAAATTTACCAAACGTCATCCAATATATAAGATGCCGAGTCTCAGGAGGTTTTAATAAATACAAAAATCATTGGAAAACAAGCAATAAACTACAATAAAAATTTAACAACTTAATAATTAAACTGTTATCAAATGTGGATCCCTGTTTTTAAAATATATACAACAATCAAGAATTAAAAAAATAGTGGATTTTCTCCTTCCTATTTTAAATTGTTCAAAACTAGATAATGATGCAGCGTAGTTTGATGTAAACGATACTAAGTAGTTAAGAAAATGGTAAAAACGGTCAGTAAACAGTCATTTTATTTGGGGATCTCATCACAGTAATAGAAAGTACCAATACTATATTATTTTTAACCAAACTTCCAAAAGGAGAAAATACGCAACACGGACATTTCTTTAAGTTGCATGATTCTTCGTAAATATATTATTAAAATTAATAACCAAAATATCTAAAAAAAAAAATTATAATAATTATGCGATAAAAAAATTAATACTTTACCTTTATTCCAAATTTTTTGCGAGCCATACCAACTTTCATACCGTGCCACAATGCTATGAACACAGACGAAGTTCCAACAAGAACGACATATCCGTACTCTTTTGGTACATCAATGGTGACCATATTTCCCCACTTCTAGATTTTATTGGAAAGAACTCGTTAATAACAATTTTGCATCAAAAAAATTTGATTTAAAATTGTTATTTTTACACAGAGCATAATGTTATTTACAACAAATCTCTATTATGGAGATATATTTTTCAAAGATGTTTAGTAGTAAAATTATTTAGATCAGAGACAAGTATTGGTTAAAAAATCCAAGCTTGCTGAAGTGTTGAATGGTTCATGTGAGACGGAACCCTGAAGTTGAAAAAATTATTTAAAAAACCTACATGACTAGAATAAAAAAAAAATGCAGACCTAATTTTCATTTTAATTTCAATAAACTTTTATAAAATTCTGAAATTAAAGTTTAAAGATGTAAATATGTCCAAAAATTAATATCATTCGAAAGTCTTGTAAAATGCATTTCGAACACAAATGTAATTCAAAGCTTTATTTATAAATTAAAGCTGCCGGTAGTTTATAAATAGTCAAAATTTATAAATTTCTTTTTCTACTAAAAAGTTAAAAATTACTTTTCTTATCAAAAACAAAGGATGCAAAAATTAAAAAAATAAATAAATAAATTCAAAATATGCATATACTTTTTAAATGTTTCTTGTTCCTTGCATTCAAACTTTAAAGACCAATTGTTGTAATTCTTATTACATTAAAGAACAGCTAAGTTGTTATCAATGGATATTATATAAATTCCTTGCAACCTCATAGAGCAAAATTGCAAACTGTCTTCTTCCAATAAAAAAAAAAAACTGTGTATTCATAAGCTTACTGAATATCCCAGGAGGTGATATTCTCAACAGCTGACTTCGTTCTTATTAAAACGAATCAATAAATGTTGTTCTTATAACACAAAGGGATAACTAAGTTATTATCAATCGATACTAAATAAAATCCTTGCAACCTCAGAGAAATTATTATCATGAATTCAATCTTACAATGAATTCCAATTTTCCATGACAAGCCAAGGATCAGTGAAGTCGGAAATTGGGTCTAAAAAACGGCTCGTCACAAAATTTAAATTCTAAAAAATGGCCCCCTTTACAAAATTCTAATTTATATAAAAACGGTCCCAACAAAATTGAACAGACCCCTTCATGAAGTTTCACTTCATAAAAATGATTGCACAAAACTTTTCCACAACGGATTCGAAAACGATGAGATTTTACGGCAGCATCGTCTCGAATCAAAACTGAAATCCGAAATTCGCGTGTCGTGATAGAGCATTAATAATATCGGAATTTTAAAAATCTTGTGGAAAAGACCGAAAAAATTATTATTCAGCAACGTGAAGTTACGATGGATTCGTCACAAATCCAACACGTCAAAGAGTGATTACTCATATTGAAAGTCGTAAAAACGTGGGATTAAAAATATCTAAATTTGAAATACCATACAAAAAACGGTAAAAAAAAAAAGAAAAGAAAAAAAAAACGATAAATGACTTCCAAAAACATTATCACCAACCAAACGACGTGATATTATGATTGAATTATCACGAATCGAACGCGTCAGTAATTAATTGAAATTCCCACATCGAATTAAAAATATCGGAATTCGAAAAACCATGTGAAAATAGCCGAAAAAGTGATAAATAACTTCTGAAAAAACTATTATCAAATGATGTGAATTTATGATCGAATTCGTAAGAAGATCGCATAAAAAATGTCAGAATTTAAAAAACCAAGTGTAAAGGACCAAAAAAATGATAAATAACTTTTAAAAAAATAAATAAGTAAAAAGAACCACCATCAAACAACTTGAAATTACGATGAAGTCGTCAATGCGCCAAAAAGCAATAACTCGAAATCGAAATTCGCACATCAAAATATCGGAATTCGAGAAAAATCACGTGATAATATACATCGTAATAATATCGTATTTAAATATCTGAATTCGAAAGACCATATGAAAGGAGCCGAAAAATAATAAATAACAACCTAAACAATTATCACTTGATGTGAAATGACGATGAAATCGTTCCAAATATAACGCGTTGAAAAGTGATAGCTCAAATACGAAATTCGTACGTCGTGACACCGTATTAAATATGTCGGGATTAAGTTTAAAAAAAAAAAAAAAAAAGAAAAAAAAAATTGAAGTAATTTTNAAAAAAAAAAAAAAAAAAAAAAAAAAAAACAAAGAAGCAGCCGAAAATACACATGGATATTAATAAAAAAAATAGGAATAAAAATAGTTGATAGCTAAAACCAAATGTTTTTCAATAAAAAAAAAAATTTCCTCACAAAAATCGACCCCATCAAGCACAAGGTCCCCATTAGAAATATTTCTTGTCATGAAAAAATTAAAAAAATCTTTTTTAGAGAATTCCTTTATATAAAAATTATATATAATTTATAAGGAAGAGTTCAAAATAAGTTTATCTAAGAAATCAATTAGCAATAAGATAAACAACACAGCATTTAAAAGTGAAAAGCACCCATGAACACCTATCGTTCGACCATGATTGAGCAGATGGCACTGTCACAATTCTTATGCAAAGCAGAAATGAGCCTCTTAGCCTGGTCCTAGAGTTTTGTTGCTGGACTAAGGAATCATCAATACCATGTGGTACTGTTACATACTGTAGAAATTAAAGGAGGCTATTCAGAAAAAGCAGCCTGGCGTTCTCACACCTAGCATTCTGTTGTAGGATATACATGTTACACTTAGTGACAGCAATGCAAAGCCTTATTGTAATTCTTATTTGGGTGCATTTTGACCATCCTTCATTTAGTTTTGATCTTACATCCAGTGACATTCGTCTGCTTCAAGCTTTGAAGTAAATTCTTTGTTGAAGGAGCTTCAGAAGCAATGAAGTCACACAACCTGTTCGATGCGTCTTCCGCATGAAAAGCCCTGAATTTTTTCTGGAAGGCTTTAAGAGGTTCAAAAAATGTCTCAACATATTTGTTATTATGAGGACAAAATAAAGTTTTCTCTTATCTCATTAAAGTTTCTGACATTCATACACAATTTCGTGCCCAATTGCCAAGGAGAAACTTATTTTCGGATTTACAGTCATATTACAAAGGAATTCTTATTCAGAGTTCTCCCAAAGAATAAAAAAAAGGCAGAGTGCTTCCTCACAAAAAAGGCACTTTGAATTTTGAAAGGGTACTTAAGGGTACACGGTAAAAACTTATCAAATATGTAGTATTATTATGTAATAACATATAGTAAATTATGTAATAACTGAATATAACATATAGTATTATTATGCAATAACTGAATATGGTAGTCAACAATCTCTCAATCTCACTGATCATAAATTACGTAGTATATGTTTCAAAGTAATTCTCATACATAATCAAAACAAGAGAAAAATTTGTATTTTATAAAAAATAATTAAAGACCTACTAAAAGACAATCTCTGAGCATAATTATTTTTTTCAAAAAAAAAAAACAAAAAAAAAACTANACACAGCATTTAAAAGTGAAAAGCACTCATGAACACCTATCGTTCGACCATGATTGAGCAGATGGCACTGTTACAATTCCTATGCAAAGCAGAAATGAGCTTCTTAGCCTAGACCTAGAACTTAGTTGCTGGACTTAGGAATCATCAATACCATGTGGTACTGTTACATATGGTAGAAATTAAAGGAGGCTATTCAGAAAAAGCAGCCTGGCGTTCTCAGACCCAGGATTCTGTTGTAGGATATGCATGTTACACTTAGTGACAGCAATGCAAAGCCATATTGTAATTCTTGTTTGGGTGCATTTTGACCATCCTTCATTTAGTCTTGATCTTACACCCAGTGACATTCGTCTGCTTCAAGCTTTGAAGTAAATTCTTGGTTTAAGGAGCTTTAGAAGCAATGAAGTCACATACCCCGTTCGATGCTTCTTCTGTATGAAAAGCACTGACTTTTTCCTGGAAAGCTTAAAGAGGTTCAAAAAATGCCTCAACATGTTTGTTATTTATGTGGACAAAATAAAGTTTTCTCTTATCTCATTTAGTTTCTAACGTTCATACACAATTTTGTTGCCAAGGAGAAACTTATTTTCGGATTTACAATCATATTACAAAGGAATTCTTATTCAGAGTTCTCCCAAAGAATAAAAAAAGGCAGAGTGCTTCCTCACAAAAAAGGCACTTTGAATTTTGAAAGGGTACTTAACACTGTAAAAACTTATCAGATATGTAGTATTATTATGTAATAACATATAGTATATTGTGTAATAACTGAATATATAGTATTATTATGCAATAACTGAATTTGATAGTCAACAATTTTTAAATTACCCTTTCATATTATTTTATGTAGTATATATTTCAAAAAGTAATTCTCATACATTATCAAAACAAGAGAAAAATTTGTATTTTATAAAAAAAAAGTTAAAGACATGCTAAAAGACAATCTCTGAGCATAAATTTTTTTTCCAAAAAAGTAAACTAAGAANAAAAAAAAAAAAAAAATTGATAAATAACTTGAAAGCCTTTTTCTACAATTTAAACTGAAATTTATGAAAAAATAAACATTTTCAGGTGCATTTTTCTTTTTTTAAGAAAAAAGCTTTAATTGAAGAAATTTTAAAATCAATTAAAAAATTCATTAATATACCCCATCCCTGAAAAAAAGAGAAACTTAAAAATATTTAACCAGTTGAGAAAAATCCTGACAAAGTAAATATTTGTAATAGTAATCAGAATAAAACCTATAAACACAGATAATTTTACTAATAGGTAATTCTTAATTAAACAGCGAGTTTTTTTTTTAATGAAATATACCCAGGACCATTATATATATTCAGTTAAAAAGGCAATGTTCTTAAGGGATGGCGGCTTATTTTTACAAAAAAGAGCCATCCTTCTAAAAACACTGTCTTATTAATATTATGAATTTTACCTATAGTATATAAAATAAATGATAAACTAGGCAGAACTTCTTTTGGTAGCAATAATCAGAAATAAAATAAATGGAAGTTATTATTTTAAAATATTTATCGAAGTAGATATTTTAAAAATCCAAGTGTAAATTCTTAAAAAGGCATTTTAAAAACCATACAAAACATGAAAATAAGACTTTGAGTTTTGAGGAAAGGGCTCCTTAGGTATGAATCAGCATATAATTTTTTTCCTCATGTTTGAATATTTTTTTAGAGAATGAATATTTTCTTTTTTCTCTAGCTACCTAATTTCAAACCAACAATGACTTTAATGCTTCAAAAATCTGTATTTTAATTGAATATGAAGTACATTTCATTGTACACAATTGAAAATAGCTTATACTTAATGATTTTCAAATCTAAAAAATTTTCTTTCCATGGTATTCAATTTTAAACACTTTCACTTACATATTAAAAATGCCAGCTATACAGCTGTTACACATAACATTAAAGATAGGTAAAAGAAAAGTACATTAAGTAACAAAATTGAAAATATCCATATATAGATAATATTTATTCATTATTATGAATTGATTCATTACTATTATTATGAAGTCTAATATCCATATGTAGATCATTTTTATTCATTATTATGAATTGATTCACCTACTATTATTTTATGAAGTCTAATATATTACTGGTAGAAATATTATTAAAATTGTGAATATTGACAGCGTAATAATTGTCTATAATTCCTTAAAGGATCTTAAATCAAAATATATATATATTTTTTGACAGCGTAATAATTGTCTATAACTCCTTAAAGAATCTTAAATCAAAATATATATATTTTGACAGCGTAATAATTGTCTATAATTCCTTAAAGAATCTTAAATCAAAATATATATATATTTTTGACAGCGTAATAATTGTCTATAACTCCTTAAAGAATCTTAAATCAATATATATATATATATATTTTTTGACAGCGTAATAATTGTCTATAACTCCTTAAAGAATCTTAAATCAAAATATATATATTTTGACAGCGTAATAATTGTCTATAATTTCTTAAAGAATCTTAAATCAAAATAAAAACATTAGACTAAAATAAAATCGATGGGTTTTTCTTATTTTTTAAAAACTTATTCTTTTAAATGAATGATATAAAAATTTGAAGGATAAAAAAGAAAAGAATAAATATAAAGAGAAAATATTTTACCTTGTTTCAGGATGTTACAGAAAATAACACCTCCTCTCACACTGAGAAAAACTGCTTCAGCTCTTCAGATAGATTAGATTAATAATAATCTCTAAAACTAGCTTATTTCAAGGAGAATCGCAGGGGGCGAGAAGGAAGTATTAGAAATGTAAATATTTACAATGAAATGACATTTTCTTCATATATGCCATACCAGTTTGAATCATGCTTGTGACAATCATGATTTAAAATTTTATGCGAAAAAAATCGCATGCGTACGGGAGTCTGATTGGCTAGTTTTTCCACTGGTAGATTTTTTTCACTAATCCCGTTCTCTTTCGCATGCGATTTTTTTCCCATTGAAAAAAAATTGCGTCTAGTGAGAATGCTCCTTTAACAGCCGCAAATGCGTATTTTAAATTCACAATGGTCCCGCAGTGGACTGATCGTAAAGACACGGTACCCAGCAGATCACCGAAGTCAAGCATCACTGGCTGCGGTCAGTGTGCGGGTGGGTGACCACTTGGATCAGTCTGCATAGGGACCGAGGGTGTCCGGTATTGGTCCTCGTTAAACCGTGCTACCGTAAAGTGCTCGACTTCGCGCACAGGTCGTCGGGCTACCGAAGCGGGGGTGCCATCCCCTCCGCAGATGATCAAAACTGTGATGACATGTCTTCGGATTATCCTCCGGGATGTTTCCCAGACCGTCGCCAATAGCCCATTGTGCAGCTCTAGTGTGACGTAAATTAACAACAACAACAAATTCACATTGATTTCAGGGTCAACATAATCTATAGATGGCGCTTCATAAAACTCAACATCTTTACCTGTAGTTGTCCACAGCGATCTTGATTTTGAAACTGATTAAAAACGCTTTATTTGGAACAAAGAGGAGTAGCGGAAGACGCAGGGCCGGTCTATGCGGATTTTTAAGTGTAAGCAAAAATATTTTTTTCGCTCTGCTACATTAAGGATATTTATAATAAATATGTAAGGGGTAAAATAAATTTTATCCATAATTTTAAAAATGCCAAAGTCTTTATTTTTTTTAATATATAAAAATGCAGTGCTACTTATATAATGTACTTTTATTTAAATTCGATAGCATGAAAAAAATATCTTATCCTAAGCAATTTCAGAAAAGCAATCAAAATATTTGATATCTATATAAAATATTTGATATCCATTTTTATCTACTTATAATTTATACTTGGTTTTCTTAAATGAAAAGAAAGCATTGTTTGCATACAATTATTAATCTTGTTTTTATACTTTGAAATTATTTTATTTGATAATGATAAAAAAAAAATTATAATTAGATGCAACATTTTGTTTTGCTTTATACATTAATATGTCAAAATATAAACGAAATATTGCAAAAAAATCAAAATTGCTCAAATGTACACATGTATTTAATTTTCAAATTTGATATAATTATAAGTTTAATATTGAGAAAATTAAAAACAAGGAAAATATTAAGATATAAAATATAGAAAAACATAAAATTTGAAAAATTAACATTAAATCAATGAAATGACAATATATATTATTTTTAAGGTTTGTTTTAACAGGTCTCGCGGATAAAATTAGGAAAGTACAGAATAATGAACTAATGATTTTAATTTAATTTGGACATATTTGAAAGCACATAAAAATAAAAGAAAACGCAATAGAATGGAGAAAAAAAGGGATAATTTAATAACTAATTGAAAAAAGAATACAAACCTAACATTATTTCATACAAATTAAAAGGGAAACAACTTTATGTCCTTGAAATTTTTTTAAACTAAAATAAACCATAGTTAACGAATCATATACTGATAAAATAAAAGAAAACATTATGATCGTAAAACTTTTAAATTAATATTACATTTTAAAAAGGAAAAATTTATAAAATTATCATTTAACTGAAGCAAAGCAATAAATTTTGTATTTACTTTTAGAAAGGAGCAAAAAGTAACTTGAATCTGATATACCTTTATAATTTGAAAAATTAGAAAAAATATATTTGGATACTTTCTTTCAATGCACTGTCCAGCAGGAAATTCGAGAAGGGTTTGTTATGCCTTTCCTCTAACATAGTAATTATTAATTTTTCTACCAAATCAGAAACAGCCTTTCGCTTATTTGTTTTCCTTACGAATTTCGAATAATTGTTTTTTGTGAATAAACCAGTGTCTAATCTAATGTTGTACCAATATTTGCCAACATTGTATCAATATCGATCGAAATGGGCTACAGGTGGTGTAGGGCAGAATTCTCTTCCTATGGCAACACTTCGCATGCTTTCACCATAAGCGTGTGGAGAGTCATAGGAGAAGAGAGTGCGTTAGTTTCTGTCTTGATTTTCAAGTAAATTAAAAGCTTTTAAGTTAGGAAACTACATGGAACTGGAAACTACCTTGAACATAGTTCCAAAAGAAAGCATATTGGAATTTTTAAAAGATATTTGTGACAATTAAATACGAAATATATTAAGAATGGGAAAAATATCGTCATACATTCTTATACATTATACAACTAAGAAGAGGGGGAGAAGGAAAGAAGAAGGGTCAAGCCATGGAACCGGTCATCTCCCCAGATGGCGTATTCGAGCGTTGTTATTGCGAATTGTCTCCAAAGGGTTTTCCTGAAGAAACATTAAGGGAAACTCTGCAGTTCTTTGTTTCTATCAGTAACCGTCATCTCTGCTTCTACAGATCTTAAATTATGAGGGAAGAATATCGCCAGCATGATCTGATAGACAAAAAAAGCAGCCGCTTACTAGGCTTACACCTCGAACTGTCCCTGGGAAAAAGCACCACTTCGGGTTTGGAAACGTGCGTTAGTTTAAAATGAAGAAGCCTGTTCGTAATAATTCTGCCACCGAGTAAAAATTATGAGACATAAAAGTTTTTCATTTTTTTAGAGGGTATCGTAAATAAAATTCACTTTGTATATGTAACTAATGATTCATTAAAATATTTTTTTTGTTTTGTTTTCTTATTCATGGAAACAAAACAATATATAATATTTTTTTTAGTGTTGATGTTGGTTTACGTCGTACTAGAGCTGCATAATGTTTTTTTTTCTCATTTTATCTATTTACAATTTTTTTTACAAATTAGTTTTAAAATGAATCCTTTATGATGAAGTGAAGTTACTTTTTGTTATTAAATCATCAAACAAAAGTAAACTACTTAATAATTTTGTTGTAATATTTGTAACTGTACTTATAACAATACATTATATAAATAATAATTTTAAATAAATAATTGATTATTATAAATAAAAAATTAACTATTATGAATAAATAATTGATTATTATAAATAAATAATTGATTATTATAAATACTTTCATCTGACATCCAAATAAGTTCTGATATTTTTTAACCTAAAGAGTCCTTTAACAATAATTTTTCTTTCTTCCTCAATTATTAATTTTTTTTAATAAACTCGTTAAAAACAGAAGTTACTAATAAATTTTGAAATGACTAATTTTCTAATTTATATCATCGAAATGCTTGTTACTATACTTTTCCTCAAATATATTATATGTATACCAGAGAAGGAAAAAATAAAATTTCTTTTTATAAAATCTTGCTTTTAGTCAAAATAATAAATAAATTCTCAAATATTTAAGAGTTTGCTAATTAACTCTTTTGCAGGTATCAATGGTAAACAAATTAGCATAACAATTAATTGTTAGAACTAACTAGATAGTTAAAATTCTTAGTCATTACAAATTTAGTAGTTGATATTTTTGTTGAATTCATTAGAACAGATTTTTGTGAAAATTAAAATAATTTATGTAATAAATTTAAAATAAAAAATGCTTCTATATAAATGTAAAATAAAGGCTTGTACTTGATTTATAAACTTAAAATGCTTTAAAAGATAATGCGAAATAAATGCTTCCATGTTACTGTTGTTGTGTACGCCAGTTAAGGCGATTATTCTTATTTTCAAGCGGCGCCATCTATAGCCAAGAATTTGACTTCTGCCACATCAATACGTCACGCCCGTTTATAGGGCTCACCCATTCATATAACCATTCATTCATCCACTGATCATAAATTAGACCTGAATCAGAGAACGATCAATCTCCAATTCAGTACCCCTAGAGGTTGATTTGTTATGGGAACATGGAGGACTTTGCGACTCGACAGATTTAGCATCCATCAGTCACTTTACTACACGGGGAGTCTTCGGCTGGCGGGGTTCGAACCCACGAACTCTCGGACATGGCCCAGCGCCCTACCAACCAGGGTATCCCGACCAAGTTACTGCTGCTTATCAGTCAGAAAAAAATAAGTTTATTCAGAGAAAGTGCGTTCTTGTGTCTGATTTCATAACTGTATCGTCTAACTAATTAATTAGTCAATTTATTCTTCACCCCTCAAACAATTAAGAATGAGTCCTAGGTAGAGAAGATCCGATAATTAAACCAAAATTTATGTAGGATGGGGCGTTATTATTTATTTATATAATATCTTTAATTCTTCTTTTGCGCATTCTACAATTCGATTTCAAGGAATGAAAATATAACAGTTTCAAATTTTCTTCAGTTTTTAAGTGTATTTTTAAACAATTAATTACGAAAAAAGCTTTGTCGCATTGATTTCTTTTAACTTCTCATTCCAATATCTTTGTAATGTATTTACTAACATTTACTTGAGTAAATATTCGGGAATTGTTTTCATGGGAATTATGTTTCATTTTAATTTTCAAACAAGAAGTTGTGATTGAAAAATAATACAAAATCGGATGCAATTGTAACTGTATCAAAATATATTTGTAATAAAGGACTAGCCTAAATAAAATTAGTCTAGGCTTGTAATTAGTGCCCGTAACGGGCAAGAGCCACAAAGCGCGAAACCACAGTGCCCAAAACGCTAGACAAGTTTTTACGAATTAAGATAATGAGAAAATCAAATCCATCATCATAATGTACTTTATTATTCAACGGCGTAATTACTTGATATGAAATTTCCTTAAAATGTAAAAGAATAACATTTTTACTATGCGCAATAATGTGCTACTTTTTGACATTTTTATGCATTCCGGTACAATCCGGTATTTCGAGTCCAGTGGTAGATTTTCAAAAGTTGTGTGATAAACAAATAAGATAGTTTAGATTTCGGAACATGCTGGAAATTGGTATGTTACATTTACAATTAATCAGTAATGTAAAACGGATATTTCGAATGAAATGGAACCTATTGGTTAAAGAATAT